ATTCTTTCTAAATGCTAATTAAGCTTTACCTTCGCCATTTCACCTTTTCCCTCCTTTTCAACTTCGCATCTGTCCCCGTCACCCTCACTTGCCGTTCCTAACCCCTTTTCTGTACTATTGCCCCGCCGTGGTGGTCTAGTGGCTAAGGTGCTCGGCCGCTGACCCGCAGGGCGCGGGTTCGAATCCCGGCTGCGGCGGCTGCATTTCCGATGAAGGCGGAAATGTTGTAGGCCCATGTGCTCAGATTTGGGTGCACGTTAGAGAACCCCAGGTGGTCGAAATTTCCAGAGCCCTTCACTACGGCAACTCTTATAATGATGTGGTTGTTTTAGGACGTTAAAACCCCACATATCAATAAATCATTTCCATACTATTCTACAGAAGTCTGGATATCGGAATGCCTAGATATCCGAGTGGTTACGCTTCTCGCCTTGGGATCTTGGGGGGGGGGGGGGGGCGAATTCGAATCCCGCTTCGCAAAGAACGTTTCTTTCTTTTTCTTTTTATCTTGCTTTCTTTCTTTCTCTCGCCCATCACGTATCCCACGCCTGAGAAGTCGCCACGCGTGTTCCGGGAGCGAATCACCTGAGCGAGAAGAAGGCGACGAAGAAGACCGCGAGGACGCGGCGCTCACCGGTGCATGGTGATGATCATTTCTCTTTACCTCTGTCTCAAATCGCATCTGATAGCCTGCATCGCTCCCTGCTCAGATATACTGCTTTTTAGATTTTCGGCTTTTCTATCTATATTTTTTTCAGCCCAAAATTACGTTTTGCTTGAAAAACCATTAGCCTTTCAGTTAAGATCCTGCCACCTGTTTCTTGGCCGATCCCTCTTTGTGGGTGTGCGCCAGAGTATCAAGGATCATCATCATCATCATCATAATTTCTCTTTCCGACAGAGAGATTACGGCTGTTAAAATCTCTGGCTACGCCCCTAGTTTTGGGAACAATATTGGTCCGCTTACCGAGAGGTCCCTATTCTCGGAACTCTCCCACCCCTATAAATCAGCAATCTGCCGGGCCCAGGTGGGCGTTCAAGTGAGCTAATCAGTGATAAGTTGGAGAATCTATCTATCTATCTATCTATCTATCTATCTATCTATCTATCTATCTATCTATCTATCTATCTATCTATCTATCTATCTATCTATCTATCTATCTATCTATCTATCTATCTATCTATCTATCTATCTATCTATCTATCTATCTATCTATTTATCTAGCTGCCTGTCTGTCTATCTATCTATTTATCTATCTATCTCTCAACAGATCCAGATCCACAATTATGTAAGTACATCGCACCTTCAAAAAGGCAACTCTCCATGGAGCTGATACTTACAATCAATATGCCTTGAGCTTGTCCCCACCCATGGCTGCGCGATCACGCACGCACCCTCGTACACTCCACTTAGCCAAGTGAAGGGCGAATTCCGATTTGCGACTAACCGTGAGCGCGCGCATTCCAGACAGACTTACCACATGCCCCCACGTGAACCTCCATCGATCACCGATTAAGCTATTCTCTTTTACCCCGTCGACTATATGGGCTCTGACGCATGCGAGAGACGTTCTTTCAACTGCAGCTGTAGTCGAAGCAGCGATAACAATGCATTCACAGCTCTGTCGCATGCCTATATATGTATATATATATATATATATATATATATATATATATATATATATATATATATATATATATATATATATATATATATATATATATATATATATATATATATATATATATATATATATATATATATAAAAAAGAAAGAAGTGTATACCTAAGGGCTCGTTTTTCCGTGTTTTGACACAATATTAATGAGATCTAACAGACAATAATGCCAAGGAATGTATCGGGGAAGTTATTAGAATCAATGTAATGTAAATAAGAAGAAATAAAAGTTGGTGAAAAAAATAACTTGCCGTGAGCATGAATCGAACCTACGACCTCCGAATAATGCTTTCGAACGCGTTAATCGGAGCTCGTAGGTTCGATTTTTTCATCCATTTTTCTTTCATCGTATTTACTTTACATTGGTCCTAATAACTTCCCCTGTACATTCCTTGGCATTATTGTCTGCTAGATCGCATATATATATATATATATATATATATATATATATATATATATATATATATATATATATATATATATATATATATATATATATATATATATATATATATATATATATATATATATATATATATATATGAACACAGCTTTCTGGGCTACCGAAATAGAAATGATAAACTTCGAGAGTAGTGCAATATTGGAAACAAACCAATTACTTATTGATTTATTTCATTATTTATTTAATCCGGTATATAAATAATTGTTTTGTTTCCTATATTGCACTACTCTCGAAGTTTATAATGTATAGGTAGGCGATAAACTTTATTAAATATCGAACGAGGAATCACCGGCCCGGCTAGGCCTCCAGGAGCCGTTGTCCGCGGAGCATCATCCGATGTCCTCGGCGATAACCCTGGCCCTCTGGACAGCCCAGATTTGGTCCACTGCACGTGGGCTGAGAAGGGTGGCTTGCCACCGCTCAGCCAATCATCGTGGGGTACACTCACGCTCGTCCGAGTAGTGGCGGTGAACACCGCACTCACACTACAAAGTATATGCGCCATGTCGGCTGTCTCGTGCCCGCACCACGGACAGCCGGATGACTACTACTACTAAGTGGTTCTAAGGGAGAAAGGAAGAGAAGAGTGAGCCCCGTAACTGTCTGCTTCGGCGAACGACACCTCAACAGTAGCTCACAAGGGATGGGGGTGAGGAGGGACTAAAAGGGATAGGAATAAAGGTGTAGAGAGAGACAGAAAGAGGCGTGAGGTGGTAAACCAGAGAGCGACGACATATCGAGGGGATAAGAGAGATAGGAAAGATGGAAACACGAACACAGGAGTCCGAGGACGGGGCACCACTTGCGAGAGCTCTTGTCGGCGTCAGGAGGTGGCGTAGAGCAAGTCCAGTCGGTCAGAGCTACACTGTCGTCGGAGGTCGGCGTCAGGAGATGACGTAGGGCCAGCCCAGTCGGCCAGAGCTACACTGACGTCGCAGATCGCGAGGGCACAACCGGTCGGCTTGGAATCCAGTGAAGTGAGGGGCACGGTCTATACATGCAGGTGCCGGGGATTGTCAAATATATCGGTCTGCAGACGCCTCATATCAGACCTCTGAGCCCTCTCTAGCTGCATGTGGTGGGTAACGTCGTCGCGTTTTTCTATAATGGTTGACGATCTCGTGAAAATGCTGAATTTCGAGACGGAGTTTTGTAGCTACGACGTTGCCAAATCAACAGCACGGATATATCTGCGCGGGAATGCGTTGAGATAGCATTCTTCCTCCGTTTCCCCGAATTCTCTCGCATATTACAGAGTAGTGCCTCAATGAGAAAGTCACTCTGAGTTGGACCCCTTTCTGAGGAAATGGGTGTCTCAGTCTCATTGAAGACATCCTTGTGACTTCCACCATAAGTCTTCATCACTTCCACCATAGGTTGCTTTGTTGAAGATCACAAAACACGCTTCTGCACATATATATGTATTTTTTTACAACTTCAGCACAAGTTCATGCCCTGAATGCTATACCGATACTTCGAAGTCTCGTTCCAGAGTCTCTTACGCAGTGATTCGCACATCTTTTTCCAGATGCATCTGTGAACAGTGACTCTGTCGTGCCTACGTCTAGCACGCCGAAGTTGCGACGTGGCACAAGAACTAGGAAACCGGTGAATAGGTACTCCCCGTAGACTTCCTCCTAAGAGGGAAGGAGTGTTACAATGTTGGTTCAAATGCAGCGCTCCCACACGGCGCTGATAGTTGTGTTGAGCTGTGCAAGCCTGGCATAGCAGCGGGGTGGCCGTTTTGGGAAATAATAAAACACAGTTCGTTCTGGGCTAAGGGCTGAAGAGGTTTTCGTAATCTTCGCGGACCTGATGGCCTACTGTTCACGGTTGTCACTACTGCCTGGCCATCAGTTAATCTACACATGTAACAGCATCAATGCTGCATTTTCAAACAATTATTCACGGCCGAGGCTCACACAACTTTGACAGCAGTTAAGCACATAAATTAATATAAAATACCTATAACAGCGATATACACCAACCCTTTGAGCGTTCTTTGAACTACTAAGGTTCACGATTGCGGTTATGATATATGTCGCTGTACTCTCTCTTGTGTACCATGTCCTCGGCCGAACAGCACGTTGAGATGTGTTGGGTGCCAGGGCACCGTGAAACAGAAAGTAATGTGCCGGCTGACCAGCTTTTTGTGTTTAATGATGTATGTAAGGCTTTCGCGTTAGTAATGGCCTTTTTGGGCGGCGGCCGACATTTTCAGAGACGGCATTAGAAAATAAGTTGACTCCTTAATTGATGAGCAAACCAAGTCGTTGCAGCGAAGAGCTCAGCGCCGTTATGAGAAAACAGGGAGACGGATTTTGCCGGGAACTAATTAAATACGTCTAGCAGTACCGGCAAAATCGAAACGCTGATGATCACAATTACATCAGCACGTCGTTTTTCGCGACAACTATGACGGCAATGTTAGTGCTAGCAATCGCAGCCCACTGAGTCGTGAAATATTAACTGTTCTTTTCCAAGGAGGCCAACATGACGTTCTTGCTTCAGACCTAGTACAGCCGTACAGCCTTGCTACAAATTCCGCCGTCCATTACGTGCAGAACAACTGCCTCGTAAGTGGTTTCGAGTTCAGCCTGATGTGTGCATAGCCTCAAAGATCTGTGGCTTTAAAATCGAACTGAAAATTGTAGATACAAGTCTTAACACAAACTATTAATGAGAACAAGAAAAAAACATAAAATTTAATTCAACATGTTGTCTAAAACAGGTTATATGCTGCTTTGTTAAATACTGCCGCTAAGCGTGCAATCAGTTGATGTAGTAATGTGGCGCCCTCTACCACGTCTCTTTCATCAATCTTTTTTTTTTTGCGTATTTTTGTTGTCCAATCACGGGTCTCCCGTTATTCCGACAGGGCCGCCGTGTCTTGTTTTGCAGCTGCACGATTTTTCCTGCGATGAAATGGCCGTCCCCTCCGAACACCACGGCGTTTGATCGCTGACCCCGTTCGAGTGAGAGACCGCACATTCACGACTGCCAAGCGAAAGCCTTTCAGTGTTATGGTGAACCTCGCGCGGACTCTATTGTGATCGTCGACGGTGACAAAACATCAACACCACCTTCAAGGGGACCACCACCACCATGTTTCGCAACAAAGGTTGGTTCTCGGGTGGTCTCTGGAAACCCAAGAACCCGCACTCTCTGGAACATCTCAAGTAAGTTTTCCAGACAGCTCTGCGCGCTACGGTGAACACTAGACCGACAGTCTCGGGCTGACAGTCGCGACAACTGCGTCGTTTCGAGTGCGAGCATCGCTACCCTGCGATGGTCGACTACGACTGTCACGGGCCTCCCGTTTCCTTGCAGGAAACGCCGGGTGGAAAAAGAAAAACGAAAAGCTCCCCAATCGCTTCCGTAGTCTTGGCGATTAATTTGGATCTTGTGCATGCGATACGCTCGCTACTTGGTGTCGACCCTCATCAATTAAAACCCTGCAGTCGCGTATTAATAGCGAGGTCCGTCGCAGGTGGGAGGGTCTTACGGACCTAAACACGCTCACTTCCTACGCGGCGTTACTGTTTCGACGGGTGTTTCCAGCCAGCGTCGCCTTATTTTTGTTTGTCTTGACAAGCTTAAACATAACAAGTGGTCCCAGCGTCTTTTCTCGTGCAGCACGCGGGAAAGCGAATACCTCGCACGTAAATCGCACGCATCCTCAGTATCTGTATGTAAAGTACGAACGTAGCCCACGAATTTGCGTAGGAAGACGCCGAATGTGTTTAATTGTGGCGTGCCTTACGAGTTGCAGGAAAGATAATCGCGTTCTTTTTTGTTTTCTGTGGGCCGACGAAGAACCATACCTCTCTGTCAACGTGTCACGCGTCATCTGCAATCGCGGTCCGGCTTCAAGTCATTCATTTTAATGCGTGCGCTCTTCGGTGATGAAAGCGTGCCTACGGCGGACCTCGCCAACTCCTTGCTTAAGATAGAGATCCCCATTGTGCTGTGGACCGACCCACCGCCCCGCCGTTATCAGCGCGAGGTGCGTTTCTGATAGCGCCGCTGTGATTGACAGCCGGACGACATTGTCGCTTCGTGCCCGCGCGTGCAAAGTGCCCGAATTTCGGCAATCGCGGGACCAGAACTTTACACAACTCTTTCAAATTGCGGTGTCTGAGTACTACTCGATAAGTCCTCATCCAGTGGGAAGTTCTTCGTATGCCTGTCAGTTTAACGCGACGGTGTAAAGTGACCGTGACTGAAGTTAGAGTCAACCAAATGAATCCGAGTGACAATTGAACAAAGGAAGGCCTTGAAGTCGTTGTTTGTTGTTTTTCTTTGCTGTAGCGTTGCCATTTCGACATAAATTGTTTGATGTAATAATGTACTAATTATTAACTACTTAAATAAAACTAATTTATTTATTTATTTAAATACCTTAAGAGCCCAGAGGGTATTACATAAGGGGGGATACATACAAGAGGTTACTATAGCATCAGTAAAACAACATGTCAGGGAGTAATACTAGTAATCAAACTGACCGATAGCCCAAGCAACATTACTAATAACACAATAAGCAAAAAACACAGTAAGCAGCTCACCATAACAGAAAACATATTTCAAGAAATAGCAATAAACATTCTCTAAGCATGCGTTACACATTAAATGTCAATGGTGGTTACAAATTATTGTCAACTTCTAAGTAAGTTAGTACTGCAGACTGGAAAAGGGAGGGTTCTGTAATAGCGACGATGTTTGAGGGCAGCGCGTTCCACTCGTTGATGGATAACAGCAGAGGTGAAAATTGGTATTTCTTAGTGCGTGAATATATTGGATTGACCTTATGTGCATGACCAACGTGATCAGAAACGTAGGGAGCCGGGTGAATGAATGATCGGGAAAATGACGAGTCACTATGATATAAGCTATGGAAAAAACATAGGCGGGACAACTTTCTGCGCGTGGCAAGCAATGGAAGGTTCAGAGAACGCTTAAGACATGTTACGCTTTGGTGGCGAGAATGACAGGAGGTGATAAACCGAGTTGCTTAATTTTGTACCGATTCTAGCATATCAGATAACATTGCCGTGTGTGGATGCCAGATGGTTGACGCATACTCTAGTGAAGGCCTGATCAGAGCTTGATATGCGTGAAGTTTAGTTTTCAAGTTTGCGCATCTGAGGCGGCGTTTCAAAAGACCGAGTTTTTTTGATGATTTGCTGGTGATGTATTCAATGTGAATGTTCCAGGTTAGGTCGGAACTAAAGAAAATGTCGAGGTATTTTGTGGATGAAACGGTCTCAATTACGGTGCTATTGACTATGTATCTGACGGATGATGAGGGGTTGGCTACGGAAGTAAATCTAATATGTTTGGTTTTTTCAGCGTTGATGTGCATCTGCCACAAGTTGCACCGCTCTGTGAGTTTTAACAAATCAGACTGTAGGATGCTACTGTCATTCGGTTCGGTAATCTCCTTATATATAACGCAATCATCTGCGAATAGGCGTAGAGAAGAAACAATATTAGATCCAATGTCATTGATGTAGACCAAAAATAATAATGGTCCGAGCACGGAGCCCTGGGGGACACCGGATTTTACCATGCACTTTCTGGAAATCATGTGGTTAAGTTTGACCGATTGCGACCGGTTACAGAGGAACTCTTGAATCCATTGCATTGTTCTCTGATCAAGCTGGAGGTTACGGACTTTAGTTATTAATCGGTTATGTTGGACGCGATCAAAAGCCTTTGAAAGGTCTATAAAAATAGCATCTGTAGGAGCAGAGCTATGCATGGATTTGTGCAAGTCTGTCAACAATTCGAATAGTTGGGTGTTGCAAGAGCGTTTTTCCCGAAAGCCGTGCTGGTTTGGGATGAGGATGTTGTTTCTGTTCAAGTGAGATATAATTTTCGAGTAAATGATATGTTCTAATAGCTTGCAAGATATACAGGTTAGAGAGATTGGACGATAGTTGTTCGGACTTGACTTGGAATTAATATCTAATCACAATGTAATTACTAGGCTGCAGTTTTAGATAGACAAACAAATAATCTTCTGATTCTTTCCTTTGTTCCAATTCTGTTAGTTTCATTTGGTTGATCCTTCCGAAGGTCGCTGGTTGGAATCCCTTGTTTGGAAAGATGTCACTTAGCTCGAAAGAAGTCATTTCCAATATTGCATATGTAGATTATTGCTGAACAGGATTTTGCATCTATATTCGAGACAAAAGTCGATCTTGATCCCCATACTGACTGAAATATAGACTTGCGGGCAGCACAGAAAAGGCAAAGGGACAAAGAACTGACAAGGTCGAATACCAACTTCCAATGGTTTCTTCATTTCGAAAAAAATAAAAAAGATGAGTGTAAATAACTATGTACACAAGACAGTATACATATACATGGAATACCAACAGACGGTATACATGGAACACCGTCTAGCCCGTACCGACATTCTACTTCAAACTTGGATGCCAATACTCCAATCTCGAGATTTTAATCCACAGTTATGTTTCAATGCACGGTGACCCCGCGGTGCGTCTCATGAGAAACGAATGCTTGAGGCCAGTCGTGCTTCTGTAGGAGACACCAACAGAGCAATATTCACCGCAACGGGCAAGTGAGTAATGCGAGTACCATTCAGAAAAATCATCCTACTCCTTGTTATAGGCCTCGGGCCACAAACGAAATAGCCGCATGTTTGAGGCTCCTGGTGTAATGCAACATGCACAATTGTAAGAAAAGAGAAGTTTAAATGCCACAGCAGTTGGCAGAAGCAGGTTTGTCTCTTCATCGACTCGAACACTGACAGTAACATGGCGCTTATCGCACGCGTCTATCACTGTTTACACAACAGGCACGTTGCCGCTGCCAGCGATTGTGTGCAAATGCGGCGCATTGTTCGGGGCTGCCACATTCTGTGGAGGACAACGGAGCATCTCTTGCTAAAACGTGACACGGGGTTCAGTTATTATAAGTAAGGGGAACGTTCGTAACAGCGCTGCTTTTCCCGTAACACGTATTCATGTTTGCAGAGTGCTGGTGTTTGACTTAGATGGCTTTGTCGCTTTATTTTTAGGAAACGAGTTGGTCGTCAATTGCACGCATGGCCAATAGTGCATGGCTTTCTGTAGTGGCAAACAGCTGACAAACGATAGAAGCTCTGCAAGCGAACTGTTTCAGCTGCGATGACGTGCCTTGTTTCATGGCACGAGGGCTAACGATGGTCACAAACAGAGTTTCCTATAAATACACTAGAGGGAACTCTGGTGCGGGAGCTTTAATGCACAGTACTTCAGTGATCATGGGGATGATGGGTAGTACACAAATTTGTCTTATCTCCATACTTTCGGCTTTGTTTGGCTTCGCCTGGCTTGTAGCTGGTTTGTCACGAGACGGCAATCGGCAAATGCTCAGCAGTCGCACTTACCACCTTTACCTTCTAGGCTCGCCAATTCAAATCGGATCACGAAGTTCATAACGGTTTGTTCTATTACTCGAGACAAAACCAAAACACGGGAATAAACAAAGCCACAAGTGTGTTCGAAGCCCGCAAGCACGAAGACTAGGTATATCCGTGTACTACGCATCATTGCTATGGTCGCTGAACGATCTTGGTGCCAGAGTCCCCTCTAGCTTTTAGGAAATCTACGGTCACCAATGGTCTCATACCTATACTTTGCGAAAAGAATTACTAAAGGGTCCTGGTGGCTCATCTCTTGTTCACTTTTGAAGGAGCACTGACATCAAATTTTAAGATCGTGATATGCCCATCGTTCGATCGCTTGGTATGCATAGGTCTTCTAGGCCAAATTTGAACGGCATCTGTCGCGTGGAAGTTATTTTAATTCGATGTCAAACAGCGTGTAAAAGCTAAGGAGAAAAAACGGAAAACGGACTGCCCTGCGACATCGACACTAGTGCTACATGTTCTGTGGTGATACATTCCACAGATACCATCCCGAGTGACGATGTCCTTGTAGCGATGACGTGTATGATCCGAGTGTTCTTATCGTGGCGCCGAAGCGCAGAAACGCTCTCGCTCATCGCGTCTGATCTTCGTCGCACCGGTTTGAATGATTTCGTGAAATTATCAAGATAAAAACCACTTTTAAAAGAACGGCGAATGAAAATAGCATGATTAAACGTGTGCTTGTCGGTCAGCATGTCGGGGAATCGTTGCGAGTTGCAGGCGAGTTACAGTCGTCTAGTTCGAAGCACGGAAAAAGCGCAATGTGTCTTCATATCACGTATGTGTTACACATCAACACGACCACAAGCCATCAAAAGTGGATAAGCGCATAGTTACATATCATCGCTAACAAGTAACACGCAGTTATCGTTGAATTTCAGTTCATCTGTAGACTTTACGTCCACGTAAAAGTGGTAATACCATGTTCTCCGCGAGAGGCTGATAGGTGAGGCCATCTGGAGGCGCAAAAAAGAACCTTGCAAGCAGGAAACGTATTCTATTTCTCCGCTGATGCTCATTTGCGATAGCTATATTGCAATGACCCCTCTGCATATACCTGAATGCTTTGCACACCACAACACACCAATCTAGCTAATTGAAACACACGAGCGAACATCGCCGAAGCGTGCATCCTCGGACATCTCTGCAGTGCTGCTTGGAACGGCATCCATTTCGGAATCACTGTTTTGCAAAAAGTTTATCTAACCAAAAATAATTCGCGACGTCACGAATATCGGGGATTCCAAGCTCCAGACTATCGTATTGAACCCAAGACGACACTTTGTAAAGCGACGACAGCAATGCAGGTGACAAGGCATGACTGAATGTGTCCACCTAGCACACGAAATGTTTGCGGAGCAGCTGAGCCTGACGTCACTCTTTTCTGTGGAGAAGTGGTCATTTGTGGCGTGATCTGGAGGTGACCGCGAGGTAGTGCCGATGCTGGTGCTCCCAGCACTAGAAGAAATGGCGGGATTGCGGGCCGTTTTGAATAGTGCTAGATACCAGTGATATAAATCAATAAAAGTGATAGTTATTCATCTCTCAGTTGCGTTTTAGGTCGCGAATCGCTGCTACGGGGTCTATAGCTACTCGTTGACGCGAAAATCTTAGCATGAGTAAATTTGATGTCAGCGCTGCTTTAAAGGTAGAGAGAAAGAGAGGCTATAGTTGAAGAAAGCATAAGGGAATCTAATTGTTGCATTCTATTAAAATTGGGGAACTGTGAGATACAAGTGACGTGAATGCGTTGAAAAGGGTATGTAGTTGGGCATGTTGTTAATTCATAACTAATAATATCATAGCATGTAAAAACTGAGACACAGGACAAGGAGAGGAGTGCTTGACCCTCCTGTGTCTCAGGTTTTATGCGCTACGATAATATTAGAATGCGTTAAACAATGCGATAAGAGTGAATTGAATGTTGCAGGAGATAACCTGTTGGGAAAGAGAGAGCTATCGGTAGAGAAAACATATATTCTCGTTCTTTTATTTGCTTGCGTCTACTAATCTGTGCATTTCAATTTGAACAATAATTAAGTTTTTGCCGACACTTCCTTTGACTTCACTACCTGTTTGCAACTGTGTTGTTCTGACATATATATTATTTAAGATAGCCATGGTCCGAAAATTTGTTCGTATCATCGACACACATACGCAGTAGTATGAAGATTTATTTCTACGTCTACTTGAGATTGCGTAATGGAAGCACTTGCTAACATAAAGCATTCCCTAGCTACGAAGTAGTGTGTAACCCATAAAACAACATCTTACCAAAAAATCAAAGGGTAAATCTGTAGTTTTTTTTGTGTGAATAAAAAATCATACTGCAGAAAAATCTAGTTGTATTACTCGAAAATTAGGAGTTGTTTCTTTTTTGTTGAATTAATTCTATGCCATAGAAATATTTGGAGCCAGCATTTTTTTAATGATGCATCATGCTCAGTTCTATGCTGTTCTTATCATCCACATTGTCTTGACCACCTGAACTATCGATAATGTGTGCACATTTGTTGGTCAAGCGTGAGAAAAAACTAGTACTGGCAAAAGGCACCACTACAAAACACAAGCCCAAATATATTGTTGTGGAATTTTGTGGCTGTCGGAATGACCGTAGTGCCAGACTTGACTGTGGCAAACTAGGTAGTGAGCTCTTCTGTAACTTCTATATTTTTTGCAAATAATTGCTTATTTATGGCAGCACTATAAAATTCAAGGATAAAATGAACTCGTAAAAAAGGACATACATATAAGTGCTGATTGCACCTACGTCAATGCTTATATTTATGCGTCTCCTTCGTCCTTGTTCTTGAAGCATGCCGTGGCAATCCATTTTCAAGCCAACTAGCCCACCTTAGAGTCTTGAAGGGACCGACAACTGATTTTTCGTGACCCCCTTTTTTTATGGTGGGACAGAATGCTCATTCTTCGTAATGTCTGTAGATGCAGTAGTTAATCTCAAAAGCACGTAGTTATTTTACAAGCAGTATTTTTCAATCTGAAAGGCTCTAAACGCATGTATCTTTCCTTCAGCAACGCTGAGAATCAATAGCGACATTGACTGCCTTTCTCGCGATTTTTGAAAGTTGTCGTTCTGCTTTCACAGGAGTTCCTGTAACCATGCCTAACCACCTTAATTTTGAGCTTTCCAACTAATATTGAAAATAAGAAGCTCTTACAATAAGATGATAAGGCATTATGCAGCTTCTCTGTATCTGTACCTTTTTTGCGTGCGCCTGTGCCCAAGGTTGCCTGTGCCGTGGGCAGCATGTCCCGGCGTCGTTACATTCTAAATACACGAGCCAAGCCAAGTCACCGAAAATGTCACTACGCATATGCGTGGTCGTGCTGAGTACCAGTGCACTTCATTTCCAAGACAAAGCGTAGGTAGCAAAACTATGTCGCTCCAAAATCTTAGCGACCTGCAAACTCTGTGCATAGTTGCACGAGCCCGCTGAAATGTTGCTCTAGACACAATGACGAGCATGGAATCACTGGGTCATGCGAAGGCAGTGCCACTTTAATGCATAATACTAACGCACATCTGTAGGTACATTTTTATGGAGTAATATTTTTTAACGTAAAGAAACTAACCATATGTTAATACTAACAAAAAGATTGTCGACCGCGCAGAGAAATCAGCGGTCAAGTGGCCAGGTACATTTGATCGTTTATGCTTTTTGACGCCAAAGGCGCCACAAGTCATTTTTCGAGAGTGTAAATGAAGAAATAAAAATATAAATCCACCTCTTGGGAAAAAAAATTGGGGTTTGTTTGAGTCAGTCAGACTAACAATATTTCCATCAAGGGAGTCATCTCATTTCATATTCCAGGCAGTTGTCGGCTTCTTTAAGGTAGCTCTGAGAAGGACAGCTTATAGGCATACAATTAGCCTGGTGGATTTTGACACCACTGATAGATTTTGCCGAATTGACTCTTCGAAAATCCCAAACAATCGAGACTTGAACTAACTTGAAGTCCCAAAAAATGCTCTAAAACAGTTTCAACTCTTTAGGACAATTTTCTGTCTTGCAGAATCTTTGTGTTGCTTTTGTTTGTCTTCTTATAAACTGTGTGCTAGCTGCTTTTTGCTCAAGGATGTTACACATTCATGATGGCAGGCTCGCCATCTGTGACCTGGATGTATGCACGACATTCGAACAAAGGCATGCGCGATATGTGACGTTAATCATTGTGCGATGAGAATATGGCCTGAAGCATGCAATCGCGTTTAAAGGTTAAAGCCTGTAAGACAAAGAAATGTATTGAAGGAAGGCATATTATGTGTCCTCCACTTGCTACTTGTGATGGTTTTGTTATATGAAGGTAGCACTGTATTGAAGTGTTCTTTTCTTGGTTGCTATATTTTTGTTTTTCATAGCATAGTTCCCTGTCATCTTTGTAGTTGTAATACATGCATACTTTACGCAACACGCGGTGCATTGTCTTTATGCCACCCGTAGCCATGTCACGACCATGCAATGCACTTCAAATCTCTGAATGACTGGCCTTAATTTCGCCACCGCTCTTCAGCCATGGCACGCTCTTGTGCTGTTGACGAATCTACAGTTCTGTTTATTTCTTCAGAAAACAAACTGAAAAGGGAGGTCAAGATAAAGGCCATTTGGCCTACCAGGGTTTCGCTAGGTGGTGACATAAATGTAAGAATACCTATAAAGAAGCAAATTCTTCAAACAGTGCTATTCTACATATCATAGTACAAATATGAGCAGTAACCAAAATATACATAAATGTATTTCAAAAAGTATATTGGCAACGCCTGCATAGGTGTATACGAACTAATCATGACAGTTTTCATGTGCATACAAAATGAAAAGGGTGAGTAAAGAGTAATAAATAGAAATAAAAAAAAACGAGGCTTATAAGCTTAACTGTATGAGTGCCTACAAGCATTATGCAAAGTGTTACAGCTAACTTGTGCCTAGTCTTACAAATGCAAACACATGCACTGCCTGTTTTGAGTCAGCCGAGCATCGTTCCCTGACGTATGTGGCAAATATTTTTTCCTCATCCACCAGCCTAGTTAATTAACAAAATTTGCTGAAATAACTTTTTGATTAGTGACTGCTGCTGTGTGCGCTAGGGCGCACGCCTTCGGACTTTCAAGAATAAAGTTTTCGGTAAACCAAACCAAATCGGTGACTCCTGTGAAGAATTTCTCTGAAATAGTTGTAGAACTTGTTCAGATACATTTCGATATTTCATTCATGCCTACTATCAGTATGATAAGCGGGGTAATTAACAAAGGTTGCCCTATTGACACCACAAAAAGTTACTCTGTTGAATCATTGAACAGAAAAGTAACATTGGTTCATTGTCTGATTATTTCATCCATGCTGTGATTGCTGTCCTGCTTAATCTTTTCAAAGATTTGCTTAAGGTGTACAAAATTGGAAAGTACATTCGGTGCAAGTCTGCTGAAAACACCGTGTGCACATTACTCATATTAAAAAAAAAAGATGAATTGTCTTTTGGAGCCAGGACGTACTTTTCAGTTGTGCATTTTTTGTGGTGGCCAGGTATTTGTACCACCTGCTGTCGAAGAACCAGACGGTCACTGAGCAGAACAAGAGCATCCTGGTGGAGACTCTTCGCTCGATTGCCGAGATTCTTATCTGGGGTGACCAGAATGACAGCACCGTCTTCGAGTGAGTACGCTTGTAATTACACGTAAGCTTGCTTATGGCTGCGTGCGATAAAGTTTTGCGGAATAGGAATGTCATGAAATTCATAATTAAAATGAATAAACTTGATTAATGTAACTAAAATTACTATAAAGTCTTCCACCAGGACATGTCATGATAGGATTTGGTCGGGGATTTGGCACAGGAGAATCAGTAAGCTTTCTCTCTAGCATCTTTTTAATGAGCGTACATATGTGTGTAGATAACTTTTGCAAAATAGGATTGTCTTGAAGTTAATAATAAAATAAATTAACTTAATTATAGTAACTATAATTACTGCATAGTCTCACACCGAGACGTGTGATGGTAGGATTTGGTCGGCGACTTGGCACATAAGACTTGGCAAGCTTTTTTTTTTTTTCAGCGTCTTTCTAATTTTCTTTGTTGGTAAGCTCCCTTTATCTGCTCATAGCAGCCGTGTCATTTTATGAGCCATACCAGTATTGTCTTACTCGTCGAAGCCTACGGTTATCTGTGCAACTCAACTGATGTTGACATCTCGGGACAGGGACATATCCAAGCCCTTCATGATAATTAAAAGTGGCAGGGACGAGGCCAATGTTTTATCTTTCCTGAGTGGTCATTCAATGCACCTTGCGAGTCCATCTCGCAAGCTTCGTGCTATCTGCGAGCTCTGTACTGAATTGCTTAAGTGGTCTGGAAAAGAAAAGTACTAGAAGAGTAACAATGGCTTCAGTTTGTCGGATATTTCAGTCAATCAATGAATGAATCGGTCGGCCCAGTCACCTTGTTCGTTCTGAAGTACTGCTTGGACATGATCGCTGGGACATAAAAAGCAGTCTATGCGGTTTGACTAGCCCCTAGCTACCACGATGAGGCCGTAGCTCCATTTTATGATACTGCCGACAAGGCAGCATCATCATTTGCATATAAGTAAAGATTACAGCGTAAAACCAGGTCATAAGGGATAACAAAATGCCAAACAGTTTTCCTAGTAATGTGACGATTGCACAACCACTGATAGTAATTAAAATAATTACTGAAGTAATTATTTATAGTGGTCTCCATAAAGCAGATTATGATGACGATACTATCCGTAAAGTGCGAGAACATGCAGAATAAAATAATGAGTAGGTTTTACAAAATACTGTGAACTTTCATTATTTCAATTGGAATGTTTCACCTTTGCGTAGGCTCTTCAGCCACTAGTTACCCAATTGGCTACCTTTTAGTCTTATTCAAGATTAAACTAAAGAATGATTACACAATCGTATTATCTGCAATTTAACGTCTTGTGACGCGCATTATGATCGACGAGCTCGTGATAACAAGTTGAGCAGTGGCTTCTTTGGGTTGTGCCCACGCAGTCGGGCACGATGCGAGTTTATTTTAGTGCCCACCCACTAATTTGAACTCGGTTTAATTCAAACAATTTTCTCTTTCAAGCTTGAATAAATGAGCTTTTAGTGTATCTTTAAACAAAAAACAAAATGGGTTTTCGTGCTTGCATATCGCATTTGATAAGGAGGACAGCCTTGATAGAAGTAATGTCTATTGAAGGTAAGAGGAGCTTAATGAGTTGTTGCTGTATAATAAAAAAGCATTTTTTTTATATGACCAATGTTATTCCTCTTGTCTCACTTTGAACTGACTTGTATTGCTGAACTTCTTCATGCTTTGCCTTTATTTATATGGGTGCAGAAAGCCTACGTGCTGGGAGTTGTGCACGGTCACAAATCCCGCAACACAGACGCCCTGGGGATCAGATTTCTAAAATTAGAAGCCAGGTTCTCTATTATCGTACCTTTTTTTTACGCTTGATCCTCTTACGAACGTGCACATGTGCACAGCGGTGCTTCTGTGCAGCCTGTGCAATCTCGTTGCAACATCGCAGCTGGAGCAGATGCAGAGTGAAGAACGGATATTAAAAAGAGGAAATACGTCTCCATTGTGGCTTTTTTTGTTCTTTGCGATTCGAGGGTTGAGCTGGCTTGAAAACTAAAAACATTTTCATTCTATTTGTTCCGCTGTGAAGCTGTGTTTGCTGCTCGTTCTACAGGCCCAGTTGACATCCGCATTCTTTAGCAAATGAGCCTGACTTTCAGTATTGTCAACTTTTGGTAGCAGCATTGAAAAAGTGCTTTCTGCGACTATGTTCAAAGGACTATTTTGAAAAGCTCACGCACATGACTGATTCATTTGAATTATTTATTGAATGTATCGAATGCTTCCAAGTCAAACCTGTTCAAAACAAAGCATTTAGGCCGTTATAGAGGTTTTCTTTTAACCTGTAAATGCCCTTCCCGTCTTTATTACAATATAAACGCCTGGTAATCAGGCTTCCCCACTTTGAGAATGGTGAACCCACTTTGAGAATGCACGAACTTAAGGAGTTATGGAGGGCGAAATCAGCTGAAAATGTGATTTTTTAATTTTTAAAGCACGGTACTCCAGCTTTACTGACAAGTACTTCCATGTAGTGACACGTTTTTGCGCGCAGTGGAAAGCATTTAAAAATGTGCCCAAACGCCTGATCTCTTGTCTGCACTGTGGGAACTCGAACTTCAAATGGCGTTTCATATAAACACTGCTCTTTGTCAGAAAAGGAACATTTTTCCTGCAATCACTTAAGCTACCAAGTGCTAGCTTTTGTGAATCCTTTCTGAATAGCGTGGGCCCATTCTGAAGCAGGATATTTGAATTGTTTTTTACAAAAGGTTTTCTTAAAAAAAAAAGCCCTAGAACTTTAGTTATCAGACATCTAAATTTATTTTTAACTAAGAAGAATGGTCATGCCTTCAATAATTATTTTTGCTAAAAAGGATACCCTGGGCACCAAAATAACCAGAAAATACTTCACTATTTTACATGCAGGATCCTTTTTATAAATATTCTTTTAAAAAAATAAATAGTGAAATGATATATTTTTTTATTATCTTTAGAATGGCTTGGTATTTTCTTCCCAAATTTGCAACAACATAGTAGGACCTTACAACAACATAGTAGGAACATAGTAGGACCTCCATTCCAGCTACTTGCAAGATTTTCTGGAGTTGGCTTTAAAAATAATTGAGTGATGGGGGGGGGGGGGGTAGTGGGAGTTCCACACCTGTTTTTGCTGTCCACCCCCCCCCCCCCCTTAAGATGGTGCAGGGGGATTATCAGGAACATTTGCATTTTTAGTCCTATTGCAATTGAATATAGGCAAACGAGTTTGATGATCTTGTAGTATAAGCAAGGCAAAATATAGCCCTCTTTCCTCAAGTCCTCTCTAACTTACATTTTTCTTGCTTGACCTCTATGAGAAGGCAGAGCTGATATCTTGGCAACCACTTGAGGTATTTTAAGTCTCTCAGTTTTGTTATGATTGAAGGAAGTTGTAAACTGTGACGTGCTTATTTTTACCCTACCTTAATCTGCAATTCTGTTATGCAACCTTTTGTATCTGTGTCACTCTAACCCATTTGGGGAATTCTCGTAAAATATTGAAGAAGACAACAATGTTAACAAGGTGTAGCATACATATCAGGGTTCATAGAGGGTTCAACAACATTTCTAGCACGTTTTTTTTAAGTCCCTCACGCTATCCAAGAAATCCAAGTTCATACTGCAGCACCACCAAAAGTGCGCCAAATTTCATCACAACAGCAATAGAAATGAAAGTGTTTGTAATGAATGCCTGTTCCAACAATGCAGAAGTAACAAACTGGTGCTTTAAGAGTAACTGCTTAAAAAAAAGAAAAACCATCGTTTGCTGGTGAGGTTCCAGTTGGTTGTAAGCGTTGTACTTGCGCGTCTTCCTATGTTGCATCCATACTTGCTACGTAATCGTGCCAGAAAACTAGGCAGGCAGTTGGTGTCTCTCGAGTATTTGAATGATGCGTCGATCTTACTGGCTTTTCTTTCTCTCTTCCGCCCAGTTTCTTCCTGGAGAAGAACATGCTCTCCTTCTTTCTGAAGATCATGAAGCAGAAGTGTGGCCGCTACGTGTGCGTCCAGCTTCTGCAGACGCTCAACATCCTCTTTGAGAACATCCGCAACGAGACGTCACTGTGTGAGCACACTCGGCTTGTCGCTTGCTGTTGAGGAAGTGTTGAGAATCTGTGTCAACCATGAGGTCGGGTACCAGAAGTAGGGGACCTTTTCCAGGCGAAGTCACTTCGATACATCCAGTCAGAACATCATTCTTCTCTTGTAATCTGTCATAAATACATGGGATAAAATAAGTTTTAAAAAATACGAGAGTCATATTGGTGTTAATGAAAAGTGATATATTTAGTGCTCATTGCAAGTGCAGTCAGTGTTGTTGATTAACCATATCACCCCCCACACAATCGCACTCGTGCACAGCTCTTTTTTACGCAGCGTTAGTTAAAAAATAACTTGGTAAAGCCCAGTGTAAATAGCTTTGAGGAATGCTCATTTTGGCTTTTTTTTTCTTCTTCCTGACATGATTATCTAGCTAGGTGTCCGCAATTTTGATTATATGGAATTGGCTGCGGAGTGCATTAGCTTTGTGTCTGGTCAAAAGTGACGTATTGATTAGTTCATTTCTTTCTTTTCTCATTTTAGATTACCTCTTGTCCAATAACCACGTGAACTCCATCATCGTGCACAAGTTTGACTTTTCCGATGAAGAGGTAAGTTCAATATCAACATTGCTTTTTTTTTTTTTCGCTCGTACCTAACCCTTCTTTGTTCATAGTGAAGATCACTAGAACAGTTTACAGAGTGCATGGACGACAAAAGGCGGACGAAAGATAAACAAACGCCGCACGACTGGTGTTCATTCCTTTCTCTCTCATCTTTTGTGTTTCTGGTGCACCTGGTGGTTTTACTAATGGTGCATTACTAGCTATTCCATCTGTTCATTGTATAGTATTGTAACAGGGACTTGGGCAGCATAAGTTACTTCATAACACAGAAGCATTGTATGTGTCACGAAGCAGCGAATTCACCGAGCGTCATCATCCCCATTCGATGGCATAAAGAGTCGCACGACCAAGTGGTGACAGCACATCGGTTTTCATGCCCTGTGCAAAAGTTGAGTTTACCCGATTTCGACACACGAACACATGGTTTTGTCAACCGAAACTGTCATGTGACCACTTGAGAACATAGTTGAAAAGCCACACGATCAGTTGATGCCATGACATAGCTGTATGACAAGACATTTGAAAACTGAGTTGATCCATTTCAAGCACACGACGAAGTGGTCACATCATGAAGTGACCTGACAGTATCACTTGAGACCGCTGTTGTGACTAATCACCCAGGCAAGTGATGGAATCATGCGAAAATATCATGTAACATGGAAGTAGAAAAAGTATGCATGTATATATAGCCTGCCTGTCCAGATGTACCATTCTTTCATGTTTGTTGCAAATGAAAAGACAGAAGTGCCTCTGTAACTTTTGCTTTTCACGTGTATGGATGCAAAATAATTTTGTTGTGATTGTGTTTTCAACAACTTTATACCTCTCTTATCTGTTCTTGCTTTTTCATTGCAGGTGATGGCATACTACATATCTTTCCTGAAGACTCTCTCGCTCAAGCTCAACAATCACACCATTCATTTTTTCTACAACGAGGTGAGAGGAAGCACACGCTTCAGAACGCTCAGAAATTCGTTGAATGTTGAGATTTGACTTAGTACGCTTTTCAGGACAAGTGGATGAATAGGGAAGATGTTTAGATAAGAAAGGGGGCACATTGCTGTCTAACGGAGTGACCTGCAGGACATTGCAGGTCACTCCGTTACCACAATATCGAGCTGGTGACTTGCTCAAATATTGTGGTTCGTTAAGGTGTTGGTGTCGCGATCCCATATAGCTGCCCATATCATGAACAACATTTACACAGTACAGGATGCTAGACAAAAGACACAAGTGCTTGTTGTTTTGTCTATCTTTACGCACTGGGTCCCCCTTGTTGATCGTATACAGTGCTAAGCTGTCTTGACTGACCAACTAGCCCACCAGCGCATCTCAATGGCACCGACAACTGGCCAGAACATGTCACTAGATCCTGGTGAAAATGAAAAGACCGTTAATTAGAATGACAGATTCAAGCATCAGTCTTGCAATTAGAGTAAGACAGTGTTTTTTAATTGCGTTTGAAAGTGACAAAAACTGCCATGTCATGCTGCCTAGCGGAAGAGTCTCCATGCTGTAGTATTAAGCCATTCCGTTTGATGTGTGTAGTCAGGTGCTTTTATGCGCACCATAAGGGGTGCTCAGAATTGGTGTGCATAGTATTTGTGCTTTATTCGGAGCTGCAGAAGCAGTGCTGCCTTAGTAGCAGGCAGTGGGCACATTGAGCTGCGGCGTATGCAGGCAGAATGCATGCATGTGCAGCAAACAGCAGAGCATAAGTACAAACTGCTGTCGCATCACCTGCCACTGATCGAAAAATTCTGGTTTGAAATGTACAGCGTTTTCTGCATTACCATTCCATGATTAGACTTCTGACTAAGTTTTTCATTGCACTAAATGAAACGGACACCATAAAAATTGGTTATCACGCCTTTTAAGCACGGGTTGGTGTTGTTAGTGGTGTTCTCCTTGGGTTGTGATGATGTTGGTCGAACGTTGATGCGTCGTTGAAGTAGCCGGCACACTGTGTTGCAGCACACCAACGACTTCCCCTTGTACACCGAGGCCATCAAGTTCTTCAACCACAACGAGAGTATGGTGCGCATCGCTGTCCGTACACTCACCCTCAACGTCTTCAAAGGTGAGGCGGCGGTTGGTGATTCATCCTTGACGCGAATGCAATCCAGTCCCCTCTTCTTTCGAGTGGTTCTTAATTTCACGCGGGCCAATTTCATGAATGTTAGCTTCCCCTCGTCTGCGTTTACATGCAGCAAATGTGACATCTCGTTAGAGATTGGCTATTATTTTGCAAAGTTTATCCTGATGTCACTAGTGCAGATTGTCTAACGACATGGCAAGGCTTAAATTTTGAACAGGGCCGTTCGTGTGATCTAGATGGGTGGTTTAACTTGTTGTGCCTGAACATTTTGTGTTTGAACATGAGCACAACAGAGTAGGCGGTAGTGCGTCACAAATTAAAGCATTCCATACTTGGTCTTGAGCAAGCTAAACCTTTGTACAGCAAATACTTATACGTGTTCTTATGCAATAACATAATCTAATCTGTATTAGTGCAATGGCTGGGGTGAAATAGTAATGGTAGATTGATTGGTTATGTTTTCCATTTAATTTTATAATAGTAAAAAGAGTGGTCTTCACTGGAAAGTAGCATGGCGACACAAAAAGAACACTGAAAAAAAGATAAATTAGTCCCTACTCGCGACTGAAAAAAAAAAAAAAAAACACTTAAGAGACGACCGAGCTAATCACACAGCCGACCCATAGCAGTGGTGTTCAACCTGCTGAGGTGGAACCTTAACCATCGAAGCACACACAAAAAAAGGCATCTATTGTTCCCCTTTTTGCTGATTTTGTGTAGGATAATTCAACAAAGCGGTATCAAAACCAAGAATCAATCCAGACTGGTAGTGATCGTGAGCCCCGCTTTATGTTATGACTGTCTACTGACTGACCATTTCATATTTTTGAGAAGCGAGGTAAGCCTTCCCGTAGCCGTTGCTTAAGATTGAAGATTGTCTTACTTTAGTAATGTTGTGTAACCGTCGTGCTTGGTATGGCTCCCTGTGCCTCGATTTGAATTACGTTGCTTTGCCTTTGTGCTTGTGGCATTGTTTTTCACGAAACGTTGGAAGAACACGTGCACCAGCCACGAATTGAAATGAAGCGTAATATTTCTTAGTATAACGACTGCTGCGACCGGTTTCTTATGATAACCATGTCAGGCCACTGCAAATTCTACTGCTACACTTAACGTAGGCTCTGACGTCAGTGGGAGCAGTGTTCAAGTTGAAGTTATGTCAATACGACGCCAACTGTAGGTGCTGGAAACAAGCATATCGGGAATACTCAGCGCTAAGTGCTTGCATTTAAATGCAGGAGTAATGTGTAGATGCCGCCATTGTTATACGTAACACTGAGTGGGCCACCACGCTCTGCGGAGTGCTTCAGTGGGCACCGCGCGGAGGGTTGTGGCGCAAGTGTAATCGGGGGCCAGAGGCGTAGTTAGCTGTGCTTCGTCTTCCGCGATCTCTCTTACTTTGAACAAGTGGCAAAACCTTGATTGCGCGCACTTTTACCAGAGCGCGTGCGGTGAACCGGGAGAAACCGTAGTTGACATCGCACAGCTAACGCTGCCTCTGGTGCTCACGGTGCTAGCACCACAGTACTCCGCTTGGTGCCCTCTAGGTGGTCAGAGGAGCCTGTGTGAACAGTGGCCGCCACTTTACATGTGTTGTCACTTGGCACTCGACTCTCGCATCTAGTGGTGACGCAGAGACAGACCCAGTTTATTGGACCAGTTCAGTTATTGCCGTGCAGGCATCGATAGCGCACAATGGATTGGCTTCGCAATGCTCGGGGCATTTAGGCATCAGCATTGTGGCCAAGTGAGTCGTGTTGTGCTGACATCCTTTTGCTATGCTCTGATGCGTAGCTGCTCAAGTTTTCCATTATCGTACCAAAAGGGGTAGTGGTTAAGTGCTCACTTTTTTGCTGCTTGTTTCAGTGCCGTACTGTATTCTATTAACCATAAATTTAAAGTACCTGGCCTGACTGTCCAGTTATTTTGCATGTTTCATTTTCTTTAGCAGTGTTTCAACGTGCACCAGTTGCTTTATACATTTAACCGAGTTTCGACAGCTGAACCGCAAATGACAGACGGGAAGATGGCCTGCGTCGACTTAGCATACGTATCGCTTTTCCTTAGTTCTAACTTCTGTGACTTTTATATGACTCACACCTTACTGGGTCACGCATTGCGCAAGCTATTGATGAAGCTTCAATAGGAGTGGCAATTCGAATGGAATACAGGTGAACCCACTTACAGCAGAGCTCTCGTGCTGCATTATCAATTATGACGAAGTCTGACTGCCGGATGTTTGTGCTAAAAAGCAGTGAAATGCAAAATCTTTGAAAAAAATAACACAAGGAATCTAACGCATCAAGCATCAAAATTTGAGCTAGAAGTATAAAATTCTGACACTGATGAGCATCAGCCTCTAAAAATTCAGACATTCTTGTTAATTATGTTAATCTGTGGGACTTGTGGCAGTGTCACAAAAACGTTAAAATTTTCAAGCATATCTGAAAAATCTGCAAGTGACTGTATTTATTTATGTCGTCTTTATTGCAAGTGCACATTTGGCAAATCTTATCAATTGTTAAGCTTTTCTTGCAACAGTTTCCCAGTTCCCTATATTGCTTTTCTTTTTTGTGCAGCTCATTCCTTATAATCATCAGTTATAACTAGAATTTTCATGGCGCCTGAAAGTTGTTATAAGTGGGTTCGACTGTAGTTTAATTACCTTGGCACCGGCCTTTCTTCAGACTGTTGTGTGCGGTTCAGCGGTGGAACACGACTCAAAAAACATTTGTGTAGCGACGCTGTTACGTCAGCAGGCGGCTCAGGGGGGATACCTCTCTTTTTTTTGGAATCCATCCCGTTGCAGAAGCTAATGCCAGCAGGCCCGAGGGCATGCTGCAATCCAAACATAAGAGAAAAAATGGACGTGGTAAGCATACGAAAAGCCGGCTGCTCGCGCAAGGCAGACGACGTATCGCTGTTGTACATACCTTCTTCTGTTGGGTGTAACCCTCACCTCACCACTGGACGACGTCCACATACTACACCACACATGCGCTGCATGACACCTTCCGGTTCGGTTTGTGTCTTTACGGTTTCGGCAGATAGCGTTCGGGAGCGGGGATTACGAGCCGTCAAGGCCTCACTTTTCTTCTACGGCTACAGTTGGTTACAACCTAAGTGTGAGCTCCGCCCACAGCTGTTGCTGTTCCGCTCAGAAAAAGTTTGCCTCCATGCAATCGCATTTGCGCTTTTTGGCAGTGGATGATTGATATGTGTTTAACATCCCAAAACCACCATATGGTTATGAGAGACGCCGTAGTGGAGGGCTCCGGAAATTTCGACCAGCTGAGGTTCTTCAACGTGCACACAAATCCGAGTACACGGGCCTACAACATTTTCGCCTCCATGCGATTCGAACCCGCGACTTGCGGATCAGCAGTCGAGAACCTTAGCCACTAGACCACCGCGGCGTGGCGCACCTACGGTAAGGTTAGGCACCTCGAGGTGGTTTTCTTATGTAGACACACAATCGTGGTGCTGGCTTTTCAATCAGAGACTTTAACTTTTGGCAAACTTCAGCGGTCATTCTGACATCACCGCTTGGGGAAACTAAAGATTTTGTGTGGGCACAACAAACTCTTTATTAATAAATCAGTAGTATCTACGTTTGCAGCAAAAAAGTGCTTACGGTTACAATGAAAGCCACCTAGCATAACTTTCGCACAGATGAATAGCATACACAGCGCAGTTCTTGGGGGGGCTGACCAGGAGGTCGGGGGTTTTATCCCAGACTCGACCGTCGCATTTCGATGAAGGCGAAATGCTAGAGGCTCTCTGTACTGTACGACGTCAGTGCAAGTTAAGCAACTACTAACGTCAGAATTTTTGGAGCCGTCCACTATAGCCTTACTTATAATTAAATTGTGTTTTAGGGATATTAGGCGTCAGATAGATATTATTATTATGTATTACAGTTGTGGGGGTCGGAGCTTGCGTTCATTCTTATGTTGTAGCTGACCGTAGGTACCACTTCTCACAATGTATGTGACTTGCATATCGTTGTTGCATCTTTTGTGGTGTGTATCGTAGCGGAACCACCAGGGCAGAGCTTTCTTTTTAATGTTGTTGCATGACCCTAATTTGCAATGAACTTGAGGCAGTGTTTAGTTGTGTTCTGTTTCCCCTAAATTAATTTGTTTGAATGACATGTCTCTGCATGTTCTGCTTCCTTCATTTTATTATTTTTCCAGCAGTGCTTTAGTATTACGAAGGCAGGTCGCCGAATGTATTCTTCTGTACGAATAGGAATCAAAGTATCGGAAGTTATCTACAACCACACGGAAGTCGCGCATTGAGGTTGAGATAGTCTTATTATACATGACATAGCTCTGTTTTTCGGCCGTTAATTGAAACTTTCAGGGCTTTCTGGTAATGCGTGGCTCATAATCATATTATGGTTTTGGCACATAAGACTGACGAGATTATAATTGCTATTGTGTCTTTTGGTATTAGTTTCTGCCGTAAAGGAAAATTAACGTCACTTAATGCAATCAATCATTCGCGTGAGAGCAATAATTTCTTTTCAGCGAGAAACAGGGGAGGGGTTGTATTGAGAAAAGAAAGAAAAAGCTTTGAGTTCTAACATAACCAGATTTCGTTCTCTCCTGCAAAATTTAATTCAATTTTAGGGGCAAATATCAAGATTCAAGGATATCATAACCTCTCGCGGTTTTCAAGCTGTCATGTCATTGTCCAGCCAGTTTTCTTATGAAAAACTAATAGAATATTACACCACAGTTGTGCTTTACAAAATATCTGTGCCATCACCAGACAGGTAGTATGTTTATTTTTTGTAGCTTTTAAATCATACTTGTACATAAAAACGTTACTATAACTTTTTGTTGCTTCAAGTGAACATAACTAAAAATGAATTTCCACTTTATTTCTAGCCTGAGAATCGATTGTATTTATGTGAAAATAGAACATGTATGACTTCAAGATGAACAGATATTTAGTTGCTAAATTCATAAGCCAACATAGTATGACAATATTTTTGTTGGCAGTAGGATATAGAGTGCATTGAAGTAATGTGTGAATTGAACACATTTACAGACAGTTCTTCATAGGTAATATTATCTGAAAGGGTAAAGAATCATTTGTCTCCTGTAGTTGCTTTGTGTTGCACTTTCCCGTCTACTATAAATATCCGATTCCCATTGCTCAAGTCTGCTAAGTGGCTTAGGGAACCTCATTGCCCTGTGACTTTAGCAATGCTTGTTGCAAAACGAAGGACAAAATTAGCATGTGCACGGTTGTGACCAGATCTGCTACCCTTACGTCTCGGTTGTTTGAGATTGGAGGATTGGTACAGCACCTGAAACACGACACTTGGGGTGTGTTCATCTTGCATTGGCAATGTTGTTTCGGTGGCACTGCACATGACTATCCCCACATTGTGAACTCTGTTATTTCATATAAAAATGGTGTGTTATGCCAGGCTCTGGAAAGTCACTGCAGAGCTGTATCAGTGCAGAGCTTTCGTCAAAACAGAGTTGTTATCTGCACTATGTAGGTGTTGTTGACACTAGCTGGGCTGTTATCAAGAAGCACATCCAAACAGGGCAAAATTTATGTGTTCAATACAGGGAACCAAAAGCACCAAAAACAGAAATATTGCCATAACCTGTATTGCAATCACTTGTCAGACAGCACAGTACATTGCATTAACAGCCCTGCACTGTTTGAAACTGTTATCACAGTGTAGACCTGTTAACAGTTCTGTGCAGATGCTGTTATCACGGAATCACAGGTCTTTTGCAAGTGTAGCAGGAAATTGTAGTTTTACAGCACTGGGGGTATAGTGATCACTGTTTCCTACCATGCCTGTCTTGACTGATTTGTTCATTGTGTTAGGATAAACAATACCCCTGTGCTGTTATCACAACACAGAGTTCTTACTGTAACAACCCTTTATTGGGATCTTTCAGCCACGCTTAGCGTATTTGTGTTCTTCAGTGCAGGTGTCTCAGTTGAGGCAGTTTATAAGTACAAAGATTTAGACTGGAAAAATAATTTTGTGTGGCGCTTTGAGATTACAACAGCCAGGGGGGGGGATTTAAGTCGAAGATGAATAGACGTACACATTAAGGAGGACACGACAGAAACAGTGCAGTTTGGGTTCTGAAAGGGGAGCTTCGACTGTAAAATTTCGTTATAGCTGCAAATCGAGCCATCCTTTTTTTTTTTGGTTTTTGAGGGCATAGACTAGTTCCCAAAATTAAAAAGTGGGGACTCTGGTGCTGCAATCGTGTAGCCACCATGAGAATGATGGGTAGCACACAAATTTGCTTAGTCATTGTGCTTGCAAGCTTTGAATGCCCTTGTGGCCTTGTTTATTCCCGTGTTTTGATATTGTTGCAAATAAAAAAATGCACCGTTGTCAATTTTGAGACACAGTTCGAATTGGTGAGCCTAAATGATTAAGGTGGTGAAGGTTAGCTGCTGAACAGTTGCCGATTGTCGTTTCGTGACAGAGCAACTCCAAGCCACGCAAAGCCAAACAGTGCCGAAAGGATGAAAATTAAGCGAATTTGTGTACTACCCGCCATTCCTATGCTGGCTGAAGTGCCGTGTGTTGCTGCTCCCATCGACCCTAGTGCCAGAGTTCCCTCTAGTGTACTTATAGGGAACTCTACGTTTCAGATTGTGTAAAAGCTGGAGCTTCTCTAACTCTTTCCCTAGAAGCGTTCTGTCTCCCTCTCTCTCTGATGACCTCTCTGTTACGCTTCGTCTTTTCTCTTCCTGTCTCCGCCTCTCTTCTCCTCTGCCTTTCTTTTTCCCCTCTCAGTGGAGGACCGGGCGATGCTGAAGTTCATCCGCGATCGGACGGCCGCACCGTACTTCTCCAACCTCGTCTACTTCATCGGCAAGCACGTCCTTGAGCTGGACAGCTGCGTCACGCATGCTGAGTGAGTGCGCAACTGTTTTGGGCTTACTTGGATTGCAGCTTCCTAGATGGACTACATACCCTCTGTCCCATTATTTCATTGTAGCTTTTGAAACTTTTTGTGTGTTTGTGTGTGTTCCGGTCCTTGAGAGATGAATTTGCTAAATTTTTGTAACCTATGTTGCAGCTGCAACCTTGTACAGCCTCCAGAAACATGCTAAACAAGCCAAAAACAAACGTTTGCTCTCACTGGGTCAGAACGTGACCTTTTTTTGAAGGCAGCGTGGTTCTTAATAGTCTTGCAAAGGCATTCGGTTGGTTTCCATCCGAAAATGCTATAGGAAGATGACGCAGGGGTAGTCCTGAATGCTTTGCCCCGCCGTGGTGGTCTAATGCTTGTGGCGCTCGATTGCCAACCCGAAGGTTGCAGTATTGAATGCTGGCTGCAGCTGCGGCTGCATTTTCAATGGAAGGAAAAATCTTTGAGGCCCTTGTACTTAGGTTTATGTGCACATTAAAGAACCCCCAGTGGTCGAAATTTTTGTAAGCCCTGCACTGCCACGTCTCTCGTAATCATATCATGCTTTTGGGATGTTAAACCCCGGATATTATCATTATTATTACTTCTGGATGATTTATTGATAACTAATGATCAAAGCTATTGTTATGACTATGAGGGGCATCCATTGAAATTCCACGTAGCAATTGTGTTTTTAGTTTCGTTCAGTCGAGAGCCTGCCGAAATGTGGCTCGCTATACTCGGCTGCAACAGAAGGAAAAAAATGTCATCTCCACCCGCAGCCGTCGTCCCTCCCTCAGAAAACATGCATAAGTGTTCAGTCCAGAAACACTCATTTTAACGAAATCGAGGACTTCAGTGTTTCAGAAAGTTGACCGCCCCAATAAAGACCCGCGTTTGCGTCACTGGTTCCAGGTCGAAAACTTGAACGCCCTGGTGAATTTGGTTTGGGGTTCCGAAATCGCCAGTCGACCAGTCGTAATGTTGTAGGCTATAGCGACGAATCTCTTATTCCTAATATGCTTACTATTTACATTAGCTCAGCAAATGTGTTCACGATTCGTACGAAAACCTGCTAGCACTGCTGTATGGGAAGGGCAGGTGTGGGAGGGTACTATGTGTGGAGCTGTGGTATTTTCTTAGGTTGTAACCAGGTGTGGCCAAACGCCTTCTCCCTCCTCTCCAGCTATCCCGTGTGCCTCAATGTCCCTACGTACTTCTTTCTGTTTTCTTCTTCTTTTATTAACTTTTAACTTCTCTCTGCTCTTGAAACGACCACGGAAAAGTAGCCCCTTTTTTGTAGCTTCTCGCTACGTAGAACGCCGGACAGGCAATGCAGCGAATGATAATGTGCGGCAGGAAACACAAGACATGAGGTTCTACCAGCTTGAAATTAAAACGCCTCTGATATGCTGGTTCCTACACATTGAGAGAATATATGTTGATCAAAGCAGGAGGTGTACAAGACACTCAAGTAGAGATACTATTCTTTTACTGACATGTCCTTCTTGTCCCTGGTACACTTATGTCATGCCGTGCAAGTTTGGGTACGTATATCAACCCCGCCTCAAAGCCCTAAAAGCACAAGCACGCAGGCGGCTCGATCACAGTTTATATAGGGTGTCTGTCATATTTTCTATATTGTGCCTATCATTTATGTTCGTCCTACACTAATGTCAAGCTGTGCATATTTGTAAATATATTAGGTCAACGAGATGGCTACCGTAGCACAAAGACTGTGGTAATAAGCCAGATCATCGGGCTGATAATGCGTTAAAACTCGACCGCGCAGCAGGAGACGCAAAGGAGTCACTTCACACCCCGTAGTTTTCAAACTAAAGAGACCTAAGAGTGCTGGTGTGCTCAGCTGTTTCTTGGTGCGGAGATCCAAAATGTGCATAAGGCTGTCACGATGTGCAACTTGAAACATGTTGCACTTCGACAGGCATAATGAGCACGTTTGCATGATGCTGACATCTGTGAGAGCGGCGGGACGGCAGAGGTGGCAACAACGACGTCACAAGGATAATGGCGTGGAGAGGCTGATATTAAATTCTTGGTAGCAATGACGTAATGACTGCGACGTGTAAAATGACAACAACAGCTTTGCAGTGATGCAGGCAGCGATCGCTACAGTGCAGTGGCAGTTGCACAACGTCAACCTATCTCGTTAAGACGTGAAATCATAAGAACCTCACATATGCACCAGCATTTGAGGCAAAGGGGCTGGTCAAGCAGTGCAAGGCCAAAATGATAAAATCATAAAGAGGCATGAAGCATATCTCTATACTCCGTTTCATACATCAGGTGCAACGCTGTGAAGGCTAGGCAAGTAGTCCGTAAAGAAAACACGAGGTGTTGCTCCGCGCGGTTTCGTAGCCGAGTGGTCTGACGCATCGCTCCGGAGAGTTCACCGTAGTTTTGAAGTGAATGGGTTCGAATCCACGTGGTGCCAATTCGAAATCTTGTTTTTTTTTTCAGTAACTTCAACTTACTTGCACGCGGAAGTGAACTGCACGTATCTATTCATTTGTAGCATACCGTGTTCCCTTGTGAGGGCCGAAACCTGCTGAGCTGGCACCGAGGTTTGACCAGTATGGCGATTTTGTCGCGATTATACCCCATTGTCGGTTTACCTCGTTGATGTGAGCGAGTACTGCGTGTAGGATGACGTTAATTCATTGATTAGGTAGCACAGCAGCTCCAATGAGGCTGGGTTAACGACAGGTGCATTTTTTCGAAGCTGCCACAACAAGTAAAAAAAAAAAAACGGCGGCGCGGGTCGCGCAGAGAGCGAAAACCTGATACGAAAGCGACAAACATAAATTACCAACTCGCATATTTGGATTGTTTATCCGACAACACAGGCGTTTGTTTTTTAACCTGATGACAAATATGTATGCTTAGAAGTTTCCCGAGAAGCATTTATTGATTCTCGTACACCCCAAGCGACGCACTACTTTTTGGCTGCGGCAGTACACAGCGCAAACAAGAGCGCTAGCTTTGACAGCGTTGCACATGATGTACGAAACGGAGTATAGCAAAGAAGTTGACACCCCTGCACGGCTAAAGGTGCAAGCTTGACAGACGTCCAGAAAAGATGAAGGCCTGAAGTTGCGAGATATTGAGTAATGAGTATTGCTGGAACTAACATTTCAATAAGGACTCCTTGATTTCAACAAGTCCCCTTACTTTAACATGGGTTGCAGCGACATTTTGTTTGACGACGTGTTGTGACTAAGTGGCGTGTAATTCGTAGTTTTCCATGGTTTTTCTAGCAGCCTCTGTACTGCTTTCCAACATTGAACGCGTGCAACCACATGTGGTACAACACGCCCCCACATGTGGGCATGTGCGATAGATCGTGTGAAACCGTCTCTTTTTCTCGGTGCAGGCACGGCTACAGCACGCGTCTGTCGGACCTGGTGGCCGAACACTTGGACCACCTGCACTACGTGAACGACATCCTGTGCCTTCGGATCGAAGCCCTGAATGCGGTGCTCACCGACCACCTCCTCAACCGGCTCCTGGTGCCCCTCTACGTGTACTCCCTCGTCCAGGGACCCCACCCGTGCCTAGCGGTGAGTGCGCAGCTGCGTTGCGCTTACTTTCTCTCTTTGGAAGTTGCGATTCTTGGGGGGGAATAACATCAGCCTGTTTCTCTTTGTTATGCATTAAAGCATGTCTTAACCCGCATGGTTGAAGAATGCACCTAAAGGGACACTCCAGTGAAACAGTGAATCGACATAGATTGAAAAATTGTACCCATAGAACCCTAATGTCGTTAATTCAATTGCCATATGCTTATTAAGAGGAGAAATTATTGTAGAAGTTTCATTTTTAAATTTTGCACAAAATATCCACATGGAACCTCACCGATTTCAGATGGCATATTTTGTATTTTGGCGAAATCGGCTTAATGAAATTTCCTGAAACTTGGTACATTATTTCCATGGCCCCCTCGCAGTGTGATGTCCTTCATTTTTATCGATTAGCAACTGCATATGGCCTAGTAGATGCCGTCAAAAATCTATGAAATCGCGTGTGGGAGTTTCAAGGGGGTGTCACCACCCACGTTATCTTTTTTTGTGGGTTTAATCGCTCGCCAAACATCTTCTCGTGGTAAGATTCTCGCTGCGTTATTTGGTGTTGTGAATTTGTAATTTATTAAAGCATGAAAAAATGTTTTTTCTTTTGGTGTCTCTTTAAGAACTGATAAAAATACAAAACAATACAATTTCACCTCAGTACACAACACAAGGCAAGGACTGAGTGTCAACTGAGACGCTGTGATGCGATTTCAAGATAAATTTTTTGACACGTCGATGCCCGGCATGAGTTCCTTGTTCACAGTGAGCCAATTAACAACAGCCCTTATTATAGATGTGCCAAAAGATGTAATGTCCTTGCATATACGTGTAACTGGGGAAGGGGAGCGTGTGTCCAATTTAATTGTGTTAAGAGTAGACTGCATACAACATAATTTGAGGAGGCAGCATAATAATTATTGCTCTTGATTGATCGCCAGTCATTGCTTTGTCATGTTTTTGCACGACACTTTACCATGGTATTTTAAACTGTGCGCCTTTTGGCTACATCTTTCTCGTGCCGCTATAACCGTCCTTTAAGGCCGCTTTTTTCTCTCAACGTGCACGTGAGAAAGCATATCTTGGAGCTTGAATAAAGAGTGAATTAGACGCTGATAGCTGGCATTATGCAGCATAACTAATGTGTCCCTTCGGTCCGCTTAGACGCCCATGATATCGTTGCAACGTGAGAGCACAAACAGACACGCAAGTCCACTGCTGAATTTACAAAGCGTTCTTTCATGCCGTTTGTCGTCTCTTTGCTGTGCCGACTTGTAGGCTGTCGTATTCGTGACCGGCGTGGCGTGACTTCTTGCAGGATGACCGGAAGAAAGTCAGCAGCATAGTCTCCTTGTTCCTCTTGTCACAGGTGAGCACGACGGGATGATGTCACTCTCGATTTGTCCTCATTGGTCATGCTACCTCCGGCTCTCTGTGTTTATCGGGGCACTTCTCACTGGTATGTTGCTAATACAACCAATTGGTCAATCAATTTAACAAATTCGTCTTTTGCCTTTTTTCTTGCTGCCGTTCCTGTGTTCCAGGAGACAGCACATTTCGCAAGGTGCCAACTGTGAAAATTTGGACCATTTGTTGCCTGTCAGGCAGAGATATCGACTAGGAAATGAATTTTTTGCAGGGCTTCCTGTTTCCTTTGAGGTCTGTGTTTCAGAACTTGTTGCAACTCACTGCTGCCGAGCTTCTTTGAGCACATGTTGGTTAAAACCACCGTTAATGCAACGAGACATTACGAAATCAAGAGTGTAATGTAAACCCTTCTCACGGGGATAAAACGTGATCAAAACGAAAACGTACACAGACAAGAAAAAGTTAGCAAGGAAATAAATTTGAGCTTTCATACAAAAGCCTTATTAACAATATAGCTCAAGCGTTCGGTATGAACTAGGCTTTCATGTGGAAGCTGTTGCATCTTTGTTCATTAACTTTTATTTGGTAGGTGTACTTTCTTTCATCAATATGACATTACGTGGTGTCACATTCACGGTTGGCCGCTTCATGAGCAATTAAATTGGGCAGTCAGCATTGATCTTGTTTTATCAAGGAGACAAAATCTCATTGAAACAGAGTGTTCCTGGGGTAACATTGCTTGGCTGCTGACCCAAAGGTCGCGAGATCGAATCTCAGTTGCAGGTGCCACATTTTGGTGGAGGCAGAAATGCTTAAGCTTCTATGCTTAAGTGCACATTAGAGAATACTAGTTGCTTGAAATTTCCGTGGTCCTTTTTTATTGCGACCCTCGTAATCATATTGTTGTTTTAGAATGTAAAAACCCAGCAGTTATTACGTATAATAGTCAGAAAACGAAGCTACACAAACGTTTCATAGCGGCTGTTGAGGTTCGACTGTTTTGTTGTGGCGTACTCTTATTGTTCGCGTTCACGTGTGCAGGTGTTCCTGATAGTGTCGCATGAGCCGTTAGTCAGGCAGCTGGCAAACATTATTCTGAACCGGGACATGAAGGTGTTCACCGCGAGGGCCAAGGAGGACTCTGCATCAAACAAGGTTCGCTTGGCTGTGCTCTTTATTAACTCTTTCACTCGTAGCCTCTGAAGAACTGTTTGTAAATGCGTCAAGCTTACACGGCAATATTTCAAGGCCCTCCATATTCAACTAGGGCAAAAATAACGACATGAAACTTCTGTGTGCGTAGTTTTATGGTAATTGATCATAATTAATGTGTAATTATCCATTCTGGATTACTTAAAACTAACCATCAAGAAAGCCATAGAAAGTTGTTAGTTCTAATTATGCAAAGAAAAAGTGAGCTTTTAAGATTTTCCTTGTTTCACCTAAAAAGAATCGAGTATTAGGCTAAGAGTATTGTGCGCTTTTTTTTTGCTTACATTCATTTTGAGCAGTGTAAAAGCATCACATATTCAAAGGCTCATGGAACATGGTGCTTTAAGCAAGCTCATCATGTGCAGTACTTAACTGTTACTCTGGGAAATGACGTTAAATGATGACATTTATTATGCTGGAATTTCAACTTATCCCAACTTCAGCGTATCTTGCTGTTTCCTAGCAACTAGTTGACATAACTAGCACAAACATGCTGTGTACACACCTGTGAATAAAGTGCTTCAAAAGGTTCAAGGGGTATTGACAAAAAAAAAAAAAATTCAGTTATGCTTTTGTGTCGAATGAAAGGCCAAGCCATCAATAGTTTAGAAGATGTCTTTGCACTCACAAGTGAGCTCTAGAAGGTTAATTACAATAAGTTTTTGAAAGAAAGTTTCAGTTTCTAGAGTACCCCGACGTCGCGACATGGTATGGACTTAGCGTCACGTGCTCGCATAAGACACTGTGATATTTTCATGACTGCGCCGCTGCGTGGTTCTGCTCGTGACGCACAAGTGGCCATTCTGTGTGTCTTGGTGGCTTACGTCATCACAGCTAGCCGCACCGGCGCGTGAAGTCGCCAAAATTTAAGCTGTAGCCCCGAGATCACGCTAGTGTCTATTTCAGTGAGTGCACCGTTAATGCCTTTAATGCCGAAAGAAAATGCATTTTGAGGTTTCGCCATTGTTACATTTAGATCATGCTAGACAGGAAACGAAGGGGTTCCACACTGGTTCACGCCTGTCTTTGTGTACAGGATATTGTATAACTGAGTAAGCTTGGCTTTGAAAATTGGTGCCGGTGCCCCCTTAATCGCACTCCGATTGTTCGTTCGTGTCACACTTGTACAGAGCGACCTGGGCAGCGAGCCCGAGTTTGTGGCCCCCGAAGAGACGCTCGAGAAGAGCCTGGAGACGTGGACGTCCGCGGCGCCGGCGAGCGAGGCCGGCATGAGCGCTGAAGAGGAGGGTTGCCACGGTGATCCCCCCCACGCCAACAGTTCAGCCGCGGCGACGCCGACCAACGCCTGCCCACCTGGCCGTTCCCCGTCCGTGTCCTGTCATCCCGAGGACGGCGATCACTCGCAGCCAGCCTCCTCAGCCGACTGTGAGTTGAACCGTCGCCACGTGGGTGCTCGTTGCGTGTGGGTATGCCGTTGGCCAGTGAACACGTCATTAGTGTCCAACCCAGTAAATCTAAAGCACTTGTGCGACTTTACAGGGAAAATGTTTGTTATTACGTCTAGTTGTACTGTTGACAAAGGATAATATTTTTCCGAATTGTGTCTTGAACATAAGCTTCTATGAGGCCTTGAATTCTAACAAGGTGTGTCTCCTCAGATGTGGACAACCGTGTTCTCTTGGGGACCGTCGAAATACAGACAAGTCATGATTCATTATATTACAGAGCGTGTGTCCCATAAGACATTTGCCTTAGCTTTACCCCCAATTTTGCCAGGCTGTAGCACAATGATCCAGTATGAACTAGGCCAGTTCACTGTACTCCTGAACAAGTCATGATTAACTAAATATGTGTCCTTTACCTCTCGTTTCCACCATCAGGCTTAATGTCGGTATGATTTTGGTATGCATGCTTTATGCGATGCCCAAATCATCTTTGCAACCACCTCATTGGTAGTCCAAGACAGCACTGTCAGTCATAATTTTCGGTTAATTTATCCATGACTGTCTAGCCCTGTTTGAAGGCTGGTGACCACAAGAGACCGCAAGGCAAAACTAAGCGCAGAGCACTGTGGTTTCACCGTCGTTCTGTTGCGGTTTTCTGTGATTACTAAAGCAGTGCGAACTGTTGTAGCCCGCGACATCGCATGTCTTCAGCGATGATTGTTGGGCCGTCGGTTGCTCCCTGCTCGCATTTAGTTACATCGCAGGGCTTTGGAAGAAGCATTCAGTGAGGGGAACCAACAGCGACGAATAGACAGTGTAGTGTCGAAGGTTGATGCCAGGTGCCCTTGGTTCTGTGCGTTTGATAATCAAGAGGTGGCGCCACCTTTGATTGTCCATACTTGTATGCAAGTGCGCTGTGAAATAAAATTTGCATGGCTTGGATCGAGTGCGTTCTGCATGCTAACGCTGCAAACAGCTGGAAAATAAGCCCAGAGATGACGTAAATGTGCAATACAGGCCTGACTACACGTGCCCCCTAGTGACATGCCCTTGAAACACCACTGATGTTCGCAGTCTGCGCCTGAGTGTGACGAAAGAGCGGCTCTGTTGCAGGCGAGGTGAACCCCGCCTACCTTCCGGACGGCCTCAACATCACGGACGAACAGAAGGCCGAGGCTGTGCAGAGGCTCAACATGGCCGCCCTGGAGCAGCTCAGCCAGGGTTGGCCACTCTGCGAGAGGTGGGGATTGATGTGGCTGCTCCTCCAAGGCGTAGTGTGTCTCGGGCATAGCCTGTTGCAGTTTACCATTGAAAGCTTGAATACACTAAAGCTGGCCATCATGCTTTGATATTGAGTAAGACTGGTAGCACTGTACATGGGATGGGGGGAAAAAAAAACGACAGACAAGGGTGCTCGCCATTCCGTGTTTAGGGCTTTATCTTCTCATCGTTACCATCTACCAACCAGCCCAGTTAGACAGTCTCCTGTAGTTTTATATTGATATTGACAATGACATTGCTTTTTATCCATGATGCTGAAATGGAGGACAAGAAGTGTTAACAAACCTGGCTGGGTCCTCTCACCTGTAACAAACACTTTGCATTCAATCACTGACAACACCCTGACTGACATAATCATCACACTTTTTTTAGTGGAAAAAGTGAATAAAAGTTGGGGGATGCGAGAATCACACCGAGAAAATTTTCCAAAAAAAAAAAAAAACGATCAGAGAGCTAAAAATAAAGAACAAGAAAACGAAGCAGCTGCAAATTGAGGTTTTCACATCGGTAACTCAAGCTTTGAGAAAAGAAGTAGAATCTCGATGATACGAATTAGAAGGGATACCGCAATGTATTTGCACCATCCCGAATTCGTATGAACCAAAAAACGCCAGGCTTGCACGTAAGGGGTCCAGCACAGTGACAGGAAAAGCTAGAAGAGCGGCCTTTCAGAGCCTTTTCAAAACACTCATTGGGCAATTACTGCAAGCACACTTATGTAATTATTAATAAATTTATTTGGGTGGTAGGCAGGCATATCATAAGCTGCTTTTTCGTCATTTTTCGGAGAAGCGTGGTATTCGCTAAACACTTGCAAGAAATTTTGTGCCAATTGTTCATGCAGTGGCTGACGACGATGAGGAATTTTGGCTAAAGTAGGTATGCCCCACAGGGGAACAAGAACAAGCTTTTGTGATGGGTTGGAGCATTGGACGGCCCACTAGTTACACTATTGACATAATGATACGGCTGATTGTTTTTTCGCCATTATAGAGCGCTTTATAAGCCGTATTAACACGATTGCTTTCCCGACATCAAGCCTGCCTAAGGGAAGTTGGACAACAGGTAACAAGCACCGGCGTAACTCGGTGGAATACCGGGCTGGCACTCAGCGGACCTGGGTTCAAGCCCCCACTGTGTCATCGGTGCTAGGTTTTTTTTTCTAATTTCGTACGACATGGTTACGGACACCGGCGGCGGCTGAACTGCACGTGACCCGAGTTGTGATCTCATAACAGCTTTCACTGTAAAACAAGTTAAAGCTGATATTGAAGATGAACGACAACTTTATTGGCAACTACTTGTGGCTGAAAAAAGTTCATGATGTTTTTTTGAACCTTCCTGCCTTCACTGTCTCTCAATAAAGTGCCGCGGTTTCGGCGCTCATGCTGCTGGTGCGGCGCGTTCCCAGTTGACATCAAAGGGAGCGAAAGCAGCCGAACTCAGTGGAAGTTCCCGCACTTCACCGTTTAAGCGGCTACAAAACCGCGCCACAATGTTTACCCACAAAAAAAATCAGTCCTGGAGAATTCACACTTGAGAATTCAAGCGAAATTGCCAGAGCGACCGGAAAACCGGATCTGCACCCGTCAAAAACATTCAATTTCGTTCTGCCCCTCATACATGCCACCATTTCCGCCGCCATCATCACTTGAGAATCCATTCTATTTGGCCTGTTTCCTGAACATTAAAGTTCGTACCGAGTTCTAGTTATGCATGCAAAGCACTGAAAAGCGAGAATTTACGTTTTTGCAAGCATTGTTTCGGAACATGCACCAGCAGAAACGACACGAGTGAACGCAGTGGCGGCGAAGGATTTAGCCGGAAGTGCAAAAGAGAGACACGTCGGGGAATGCCAACTCGCTGCTACTACACTGTCTCTTATACTTCCGGTGTTCTCACCGATCGTAATCCAAACCAGGCCCTCGAATGACGCATCTTTGTCAAGGCTGTGACGCTTGACACGCTGTGCAGGTAGTTCGCGATAGCGCCGACACGATTTACCACCGATGCCTTTGCCACCACGTTAAATTAGTGGCTGATTGTTTACACCACGTGTCTTCTTGAAGGTGAGAGCAGCCTGTGTAGCCAAATCCGCAAAGCAAAAAGGCGATCTTCTATTGCATGGTGGGAAAATCGGTCTTGGACCAATTTATTCACTTGAGCCTCGCGACGTGTTTCTCCAGTTACTACTATTGCAAGGAAAATTACGGCAAGTTTCGACCCATTTTCTCCCTTCGAGGCCGAGAGTGAACAAGCCTTCCTCCTACAGACAAGTCGCGTCGTGCCGATCGCGTGTAGCGGTCAGTCGCGTGTTCGTATCATCGGCGGTTGCTGAGGAAACCATTTGTGTAACACCAAATCATGGCATATTTTATATATTGTCGTCCATCGGAAGCAACCTTAACATTTGTATCGTCGTGAAATTCGCATAAAACCGTAATCGTATCATCGAGATTCCATTTGCTCATAAAACAATGAAGTGGCCTCCGGTATAAACAGTGTTGTTGGTGCATTTTCACACTTTATTAGTTCTAGTATTATTGCATCTTTTTACACCTGTAAAAACTGTAGAAAGCTTTAACACTCACCTCTTCTGACTGTCTTCATTGAAGGCCCTTCTTGGCAGCCGTCTTGAACGCCCTAGACTGCAGCGAAAATGACCACCCGGCGTTGTTCGCACTTTGTCTACTCTACGCGTTGGGCCACAATCCAGGTCAGTGGTCTATTCGTTGGTATCCATTGGTATTTTAATTAACACTCAATTGTCTCTTTAATTTGCATGTCAACATGGTGGACAAACTGAAGTCGTGTTGCGTCTGAGAAGCTTTTCGCTGATTACCGTGATGTTTACATGTTTGTGTTCGTTCAGCGATCATACTAATGTTTTCATTGGGCCTTATGATTGCTGAATTTCATTAAAGAAGCCCCACAACACTTTGTCAGCGTATCAGAAAACTCCGCCAATTGGTCAATGGGGCTCCTGAGTACACATAAGTCAATGTTACAGAAGTGGAGTGCCCAGGCTGGTATTTACAATTACATCTCAAAGTCGGCTGGAAGTTATCTGTACTTTCTGAAAATTATGCCATATACCGGAATTTATGTCCGTTAACTGACTTGAGCATTGTAGGCTGCATACCTAGGATGGCCACCGCAACAGGCCTCCACGTACTCGTGGGCGTACTCGTGCTCACACTGAAAGGAAGCCGTACGTTGGAAAGGAAAGAAAAAAAAAGGAAGAAAAGGTACTCGAGGTCAAGACATGCGCAAGACGTTTTTCTCGTGCCATCACTCGCTGCTTGACTTCCGGCATGCTCGTGAAGGCGAGACAAGAGAGAAAGCAATTACAGTGTCTGACAGAGAAAGAAACAACTTTATTTAGTGTGTGACAAATATTTAACTGTGGGCGTACTTGGCGGATGGTTGATTCGTGAAGATGTAAACTGCTTCACTAAAGCCATTGGATGGTTACTTTGAAAAAGTGTTGCAGGGCCTCTTGAAAGAAATATTTCGCTCAGTCTTGGAGCATAGTCGTGGAGGTCGTTTGGTAATGAAGGTACACAATTACTCGCGCGCGCCATCTTGGCGGACCATGTAGTGTCCTGCTTTTAAGCTCGAAGGCGCGGCTGCAATTCCAGTTCGCGACCACTGCTGCATTTCGACCTTCAGCCCACATCGTTTAAGGCATGGAAGTTTCGTTCTCTCCAAGAAAATTCACAAGGAATGCTCATTTGTGCAAACTTTTTTTTTTTTCGTTTTTATGATGATACAGGGCTAACTTGATTGCTTTCTGTAAAAGTAATCTCGGCTGTTCCTTGATCCACGCTTGCCTTGTGTTCTTGTGTCATTTTTTGTTGTCTATGTTTGTTTTGTACACTACGGACGTGTCAAGTGTTTCGCTGTGTCTTGTGTGAGCCTTCTTGTCTAACATCCGTGTTGTCCTTTCTTTCCTCCTCTTTCTCTCTGGACACCCATATGCAGCTGGTAGGTAAAATGATGCTTTTCGAAATTTGACGAAACTGTCTTCCTTGCATGGCACGAAATTTGAAAAAAAAATAATAAAATCTTTGAATGGTTTCAAATTCTGAAGCTTAGCCTAGAGTGATATAAACAGTAGTTGAGGGTAGGGACAGTAACAAGTTCATGTTCTTCTCTTGTATCCATCATTTATGTTTATGAAGTGGTGCTCCCAATGTACAGCTTGTAACATGTACATTTTATGTTCTGAGCTTTGCCCTAGAAGCTTTGTTTAATCTGAACTACCTATCTTGTGTGCTATCTCAAACTTGGAATTGCCTGCTTTAAAGTTTTTGCTGCCTTTAATGGTGCATCTGCAAGCAATTCGAAAGGGGAAAAAAATCCTAAATCGCATTCTAGGGACCAAGTAGCTAGTTACAGTTGCCACGCATAAATGTGGTTGTAACGCCATAGCTGCTCAAACGAAAATATACGTTTTACAAGCAAGTATGTTATGATATATCTGACTGCATCGCAAGTAATATTTGCTTTGACACATGATGTTCCCTTTTATATCGTTCATGACTGTATCAGCCACTTCTTGCAAGTGTTCCAAGTTGGCTGTGGTGGAGTTATCGCTAAAGTGGAAAAATACGGTGTGACGTGCGAAACAGATGAGTCAGGCCTGGCAATATAGAATGGCTTGCATCTCAACATTCTGACGATATAACCTATTTTTTCGGCAGCCCGTGATTGACATAGGCTTCTTGATGCCAATCAAAAAGAATGTGTTAAGCCGAGAGGCAGTCATAAGTTGGGGAAAGTGAGAGGTTTCTGCAAAGTGCTTTTATAGCAGTTTAGCTTGGCTGTCTTGATGTTTGGTACAGCATAGTAAAAGTAACATTGTCATTAACAGCCAGGCTTTTTGGAAACTGTTCTACTCTGTCACCCTCTGGCTCTTTTGATTAAGCTCATTTGTTTCATAAGAGTAAACTGTTCTTTCTTGGTCTCTTTTTGATTCAATACAGGCATCAACCGCGAGCTGCTGGACACTGTGCTCATGCCATCCCTGAACCCGGAGGTACGACCAGAGTCCTAGCACTACGCGTTGCTCACACTTTTCCAGTTTTTGACTTGGTATTTTGAAAGGAACCTCAAAAGGGCCCTGAAACACTTTTTGACCATGGTCAGAAAACACTGCCAATTGGTAGTAGAGGCTCCCGAGAACACGCGAGTCAGATGATATAGCCCAGCACGCAGCCTAGAATTCACAATAAATTATCGAAGTCAGCTATTCCTCTTCTCTTGACAAATGACAAAAGACGATCAAAAATCACTCGTAGAAAGCCTTCTATCAGCCATTGGCTGATTTGAACATGGCGCGCTCGGCAGTTACAGGGATCGCCGTGAGAGGCCGCGAATTGTCCACGCGTGCGCGCACGATCACACTTAAAAAGTCATGTATTCGAAGGGGGAAAAAAAAGTACTCAAGGTCAAAAGGCATGCGTGACGTATTTTCTTTGCAGCTGCCGTCCCTCCCTGCTTAAATGCGATTGCAGCGTGTGACAAATATTTGTAATGCCGCTCATACTGGGCGGATTCTTATACTCTTTGCAGCGTTGAATTCGGGAGGCAATAAGTTGTTTTAGTGCATCCATTCCATGGTTACCTGAAAAAGTGTTTCAGGACGCCTTTAAAACTGTGTACTTTGTGTTGCTGTGGTAAACGACACTTTAGCATTATCGAGACAGCTGTTGTTACTGTGAACTGGTATTTTGTGGAAAAAAAAAACAAGTGCATAACAAGCACAGTGCTGCCCATAATTTCTAGACCAGCTTGCTAGCATGTCAATGTTAACTATCCAGCTGCCTTTAGATAGTTTTGTACAAGTTAGGGATCACGTTTCGCTGCAAGAGAAACAAAAGGGTTAGCCACCTCTGTCTTTAGAAAATTTATTTGTGAAGTAACAATATCTCCTGAATTACAAAGAAAAGATTTTTCCATTCAGTAGTCTCAAATTTCAATATAACAAACTAAGATATAACGAAATATGGGTTGTAACAAAGTAAATGAAAAATAGTTTTGCAATAGAGTGTATCAGGAATATATATTTATAAAGAATTTTTGGTTATAACAAACTTATTTTTGTGCGAGATGCAAGTTTGATATAATGAGGTTTGAGTGCAAATCGAACTAGCAAATGAGGTTCGTGGATAGAATTAAAAGGTGCATCTTCTAACCATTGCTCCTCACCTCCCACTAAGTGTATGAAAATTGTTTCAAACGAATGCCTTACAACTCCGGGCTGACTGGCCTTTACCCCCTAAATGTCCTTTTAATGAACTTAAATAAAGATAAAACTGAGAGTGGGCTAGGTGGTTAAACACAGTCAACTTTCACTCACACTGCCACAGGTGCTCGTGCAGTTTACTGTTTGAAGAAACAGGAATTGTGCACAGGTCAAGCAACCAGACGAAGAGGGAAATTATGGAAGTCAGCACTATTAAGGCAATTGTGTAAGCATACCGTCTATAGCGCTCTAGCAAAATTAAATAGAGCTAATCAGCGACGTTATATGGTATCAATAGCCAGGGCATGCATCTCTGGGCATGCATGTAGTCTCTCTTCCAATACTGTGTTCGTCACAGCATTAAATAGTTGATAGTTTTGTGCTGATGTGTTTCGTATGTGTCTTTCTTGGCTGCGTCCTGTTATTTTTGTAGTTTGCGCTGGGAAAGTTGGGCATTTCAATGGATATTTGATAATGCGATGCCTGGCCTGTGGTCATCTTGGTGGGGCTATTTCAGACGAAGCACTGGTACAATGTGGCCCTCATGGACAAGCTGATCCAGATTATCGCCTTGAGCTGTAAATATGGTGAGTGGGCCCACGGGGGCGTTCCTGCTACTTTCGTACGAGTCTGTATAGCTTGAAGACATTGTTACTATTTCGCGATGTTGCTTCCTAGTTGCACGTCACTGGGGTAGCCTACGGCAGTTTACAACCTAGAAAAAAATGTCGGCTCTTCCCATAGCTATCGGTTATCTTCCCGCAGAGAAGTTTGCATACATACTCAGTCCAGTAGCGCTTACTGATCTTGTGACATTGAGTAGCGCTTCTCGAATGTTTCGGGTGGCTAAACTCTCTGTACGGGTTGTTTCGCTGGTTTAAGGTTAGAAACTTGAGCGTCCGGTAAACTTCGTCTCGGTATTCTGACATCGCCGCTTGGCCAAGCGTACTGTTTTTAGGTAGTGACAATGAACCTTTGTAGTTAATGTGCGTAGTGTTTACGTTAGCCGAGAAACGGTCCTTGTGGTTGAAGCAGAAACCAGCTAGAGCAGCCGTCTTTCACAGGTGAAGGGCAGGCGAGACCACAATTGTGCTGGCGGAGCTGCCAGAAAAATCAAGAAAGATGCAAATAAAATAATTAATATTTTGGGGTCCAGGTGATTGTTGAACCCGGTCCGGTTTCATGGTAAGCACATGTTCTACAGCCATGCATCTGCGTGGAAATACAGTTAAAATGACTTCCTCAGCTTGGAAATGCAGTGAAAATAACGTTCATGCTCTACAAGCACACGCATCCTCTAAAGGGGCTTCACAATGGAACATGTAATATCACAGTGATATTGCGTGGTACTAGCGTACATTGCAATCGGCCGTCTGAATATGTAATTACCATAACGACTTTGTGGTTTAGGGCCGGCCACCCATTACAAAAGGCACCCATGTTACTGCACGTAAAATAAAGTTTTTTCATTCTATTCCATTTCATTACTGCACATATTCTCTTAAGGCCACGTAGTGGGTGCATGAAAAGTTCAAGATGATTTCACGCACATAATTGCTCGTGTTTTAAGGCTACCCCGTAACACAGAATGCAGCCATGTGATATAGCTTCACTGACGCAAGCCACTGTCATCTTTATTGTTGATTACGTCGTGGTTATCCGCAGTTTGAACTTCTCAAGTAGCATCGTACAATAAAAAGTGTGCACTAGGGGCAGGACATCATTATCACATTCTACACTTAAACCTGCTTATAAAAAACCTCCATATAACGAATTCCTCGATATAACGAAGTTTTAATATTTCGAGCACATGTATTTTCGGTCTCTAGGTAACAAGTGAACAGCGCAAGACAACCTTGATATAATGAATTTTCCCCTCAGAGAATCCAGAAATTTCGCTCCGCATTTTGGCATTTAAAGCGCTAAGCGGTGACGGCGGCACACATGGCACACCAGGCGTAAACAAAAGCTCGTTCCTGCACGCTAGCACCTTGTGAGAACAGCATTGCTGCGGCAAGAAGGGCGTTGCCACCACTCTCGCCGCAGCGGGCGCATGCGCGAATGTGCTCCCACCCTCCCCCCACTCCGAACCAGAATAACAAAAAAAAAAGAGTAGTTTTGCGCGCCAGCAGTGCCATGCTTTTAGTTAGCGTCATTGATGTGAGGCCGGGCTGCATATAGAGGGCACTTTACCGAATAGTTTTCCGCGGTATCCGTGTATGTGTCTGTGTCGTTCGCTCTTCGTTTTCGACGCTGTTCGTGCATGCATCGTTTCACTGCGTGCGCATGATGTGGCCATCGACTACTCTCAGCTTCCCTTTTTTTTTTTATTGTGGTAGCAACTATATGGACCGTCTCAGCTTGTTTTTGCCGCCGCAGCCATCATTTGCAGTATAGGTATATGCACGGCCGCTTGATCAAAGCGCACAGGGTGCGGCCTGCTGCGTGCGCCCGAAACAGCGGGAGAAGCCGAGTTCATTCGCCTGCCGCCGCGGCGCCACCGGTCAAGGACAATGAAAAGCGGCGGAGTAGCGGTGCGCGCGCGAATTCCCGGGATGTTTTAACTCGCGACTCTTCGTGCTGCAAGTGGACACTTTGAATTTAATATCCTCTCAGTGCTTTGTTCCACCCTACTACGGGACCCATTCCCTTGTGACAAATGGTTTATTGCTACTAAGGGAGACGGAGTGGCCTCGACTAAGCCATCCCGCCCCTGCCACAGTCAGCTTTAAATTCATGCATATGACAAGTTTGCCCCGTCCTCAGGCCACAGGATTAATACACGTATTTCATATTATTTTACACAAGGACTTGAAAGAACTTTCAGACCTCTTTTACGGCATTTAACTATAGCACAACGTTTTAGCTTCTCGTTAAAATCATTTTTGAATAAAGGCCATGATTTTATGTTTGCCTTTGTCCGCTGGCCTGACGGTGGATTACATAACCTTCAGTTCATTCCAGAATATTTCAGCAGCTATAATAACTCTAAATTAGCATTCGTCTGCATATTTCCCGTTCGAAGACTGTTGAATGTGAAATTGTCTTCTTTGCTGTGCATGTGGAAATAATGAAAATGCCGGGTATTGTGCTTACAATGAAACGTGCGTTTATTAACTGGAGCTCTACAATCTCTAAAAGATCAGTATACTTTCTAATACAGCACAACAATTTTGCCTGCATTACAAGGTAAGAAAATGGAGGTGCCATGGTCCTCAAAGGCGCAGATTTTTCTGGGGAGGGGCTTGTGTGCCAGCCTTACAAGACGTTGCACAGTGGCACTCACATTCTCTGCCAAGTTAACTAGGAGTGGTCGAAGCAGCTTTTTTAAAAAAAAACATCACAGATCTGGTTCGTGTGCTGAAGGCTGCCCGAACCACACCGTAGTGTAAGGCAGGTAACCAAATGTGGAAGGAGGGCTGAGTGAAGAAGTTTACACAGATTTCCACTTCTTCGAACTTCAGTGTCTTTCATCACTTCACTGACAGAGTCACATGCGAGTTTGCAAATTTTCACGATCTCCATGTTGGGATACCGAAGTTGTCCGTTATCGATTTTCTTCACTAAATCGTAGATGCTGCCACACGGTTTCGTCTCTTGCAGGAGAACCTTGCATGATTCACAGGGCAACTGCAAGTAATAAAATCAAGCCAAGTAAAATTTTCATCAAAAGTACTATGCAACAAGTATGTAGGCTGCTTTTCTTACTTCGCTTAGCTAAAGAAAAATATTATCTAAATTTCGTAAGAGTGGGAATGAAACAACCTGCGGCAAAAAGAGTGGCATACACGCAATCTGGTGTCGACGCTTACAGTGGTGGCACACCGGCGGGGCGGGACCCGCATCCTGATTCGGGCCGGAACCCTGGCTCCGGACTGACCCGAGTTTTTCTTCACTCGAGGTCAGCCTGGAACCCTGCCCTTGGTTTTTAGTGGCGAAAAGGAGGGCAAAAGGAGAAAAATATGAGAAAGAGGGAGAACTGCTGGTTCGCATATTATAGTTAACATTCGAAGAAGGCGAAAGTGAAGTGAACATTGTTTAAGACTGGCTGGCGCGCTAGCGACGCGTTCGAAAGAATGCAGCAAATAATGCAAAGCTTAAAAATAACCGTCCTTACCTTCTCCTCACATGCATGCACGATGTATCAGGCCAGGTATACTAGGGGTGCTAGTTTGAGGTCATCCGGCACAGCAAGCCAAACATTTAATACTTCTAGCTCATAGGAAAGCCGCTTAGCACCGAGGACGACCGCAAGTGGCACGGCCGCAGTGTTGCCTTCTCGGGCTTTGAGTTTTAGAGGTGCATTTGTTTCGGAGCTATGGGGAGCGTTTCCACTCTTAGCAGCTTGGAGGATTCCAACCTGGGGAAAAAAGTGCGTAGGTTACATGGGTGTGCTCTCCAACGGGCACCAAATATACCTTTAACAGCTTTTCGGCTGTGAAGACCGCGGTTCTTGCATCAACTCTATCGTTGCCTCCGTTAAACTGTCGAAAGCAACTGAAGAGGGACTCCACGGGGTCGCTGTGCGTAGCGAAAGCTGGAAAAAAGTTTGTTTGATACCTAAGTCAATACACATATACGTAACTGCGATAAAAAAAATATGAAGGTGAAAAAAGAAAAACCTACTTGTTGTCTAATAGATGTTGAATATCAATGCCACAGTTGACCTAGTCGTCATTATCGTTGCCTCGTATGTTTCTTTCGTCATTTTCTTTTTTGTTTTGCCACCAGAAAGCTGAATCTCCTCGATGTACGTGATGAAGTTTACTTCAAGCCACGAAAGACTGTGGTCGTCGATCAGGTAGAATGGTTCTTCCCTTTGACCGCGCGGCTTCACAGCACTAATATTGTGAAGGTCATACCACTTCGACACCATTTTCATGAAGGTGATGGTGGGCAAACAGTCCTGAAATTCTGTCGCATCAGGGTGGCATTGCGGGTTTTCTTGTTGGAACTCAAGCGTTTCTATAACGACTGGGGAGAAAACTTGCGTAGCCCTTGACACTTTCATCTTTTCTAAGTTGTTCGGTTCAACGTGTGACTGTGTTAGGAACCTCACTGGCTTTACGAGTAGCTGTGACTGAATGCTGAGTAGCTTCTTCAAGTACAGTCCACCTTGAATTAGATTCTCTCCGTCCATCATCTCTCTTTCCTCAAGATTATTTCTGAGTTTCTTGATGAGGTGATTCGGATCAAAAGACAAAAAAAGAGGATCACCTTGTCGCAATGGATGTGGCACTACATGCGCAAGCATTTCGTCCTCGGAAAGGCTCTTGAAGAGCGCAACATTTGACTTGTGATTGTCGGTAACAATCCTCGTTACACGGAAACCCACATCTTCGACTGCCTTCATGACATTCATTGTCATAGAACGAAGTTGCTCACTCCTGAGGCACCGGGTAAAGAAGTACCCAACTGTTATACATAGGCAGTTGATAGCCCTCACAGGACAAAGCACAACAACCTGTTCGCCACTTCAGGCGTTGCACATGATTGCTGCTCAGGACCCATGTCAACGAGACCGAAAACCTTATCAAGTTGGCGATCGTACATAACTTTCTGCTGTATCGCCATTTCATCGATGATTAGGGAGCAGAAGATTTCTTGCTCGACTTGTAGCGCTTGAAACTCTGCACGGAGGCGTTCTGTTATGAGTGATGTGACGCCTATTTCGCCTGTTGAGTGCCCGATGTAATTCTGTAGTGTGGCACAACAAGGCAACTTGAACAGGCCTCTTGTTCTCACATACTCGTAACCTTTGTTGGAGCACGCTTTCCAGAGGACGCATTCCATCAGAATTGATTCAGTGTACGCTGGCTTCTTGGAAGCGAAATTCGACACTTGATTCTTGATAAATTCGGTGGTTTATTGGCCTTCGTCTGCGGCTCTTAGTACACTCACAAAACAGGTGATTTCTTTGTTGCTTTCGAAAGCTTGAAGCCGTTCACGAACCGTATCGTGCTGGCTTTGGAGCGTCTGCAGTGACTTATTGAGGCGGGAAATTTTCCGCTGCAGGCGGTTCGTCGTTTTCTTTGCATCCTCTATCATCCGCTTGAGGTCAAGGTCTGTTTGAGACATTTTATCTCTACATGAACTGGTTTGGCACATACTATCAACAGGCAATGAACAGTCCCACGTTCCGTCCGAAGACCCGCTTGGTGCAACATGTTCTTGATCTCCGAAGAGATCAGGCTCGACATCTTCATGCCTGCTTTCATCTGGGCCATTTCGTGCACTCTTTTTCGCGCAAGCTGATGAACCACCATCTGGTACTTCTCTTCGAGGCCACTTTCTTATCCTTGGAGCCCTTGGCTTTTGCATATAGGACGGGTAATTGGGGAACACCGTCGGGATAGCAGTTGACAGGAGCATTCGCAGTTTGGTGCCTTTCTTATAGTCATTTTCGGTGAAGTGAAGGGAACAAACCGAAGAGCGGTCACTGGGTACCCACCTCGTTTTTTTTCCGCCAGATCCCTGCCGGGAGATGTTGGTGAGCCATGCTTGTCGTCGTTCAGCGCTCGATGGAAATTCATGGTAGCTCAAACCGGGATTTTTCTTTGCGTTCGACGCGCACAGTGGAACACAGCAGTTTTTTGGCATACTAACTGGCCACTCGAACTACCTAGCTGGACTGTGAGGCAGATCGCATCAAGCTGAACACGACTATATTTGTTTGGAGCATGTAACCTCATTCCGCGGCGAGAAATTGGCGCGAAAATGCCGCGTTCGCCGTAGCGCGCCCGCGCGTCTCTTCGGTGTGTCCTCTACTACTAGCACCCCCCGCAAAACTTGCGGCCGCAACTGTCAACAACGCTCGTCCTCCCTCGCCTATGCGCGGCAGCTCCACGCAGCAGGCCGCACCCTGTACGCTTTTATCCAGCTGCCGTGGTATATGTATCTATATGTATATACATGAAAACGCTAGAAAAAAAAAAAGCCGCCCGCGCTCAGAGCTTGACTTGTTACGATGCGCCGACGCACGCTTATCTCCCACGGGTACTCTGCCCCGCTGATTGGGGGGAGTTAGATGCTTGTGCACGCACGCTTATGCTTCGTTTGGGAGAATCGCGCACCTTCGACTTTGACCGGAACGATTGCGTTTAGTTGCCGGGGGAACAAAAACCACTTCGCTCGAGGGACAGGTGCCATTTGCAAAAAGAGTGCGCTTTTCAAACACAGCGAAGTAACAACTGGGGAAATGTTGTTAGTTCGCTCTCGTCCTGTATATATGTTGTCTCGTGTGCATCATTTGTGCGTGAGCAGCACGCTGCATGTTTCGATCTGCTTGCCGTTCTTAACGTTACATTCCAAGTTGTTGCTATCGCATTCATTGCTTCGTCGTTGCGGCGAAACTGTGGCTTTTCTTCTTAATTTTGGACATGTCGTCACCACCGAGGGGAAGTCGTATTAGGCACTGATGGAAACTCTCCAAGACCACGGTGACGACGGATCTTCGGAGGTCGACTCGTCATGTGCTTCCGTCTTGCGCCGCGAGTTAGCAGACTGGTAGATTTTGGAATTAGCCAATTAGTTCTGCCAACACGATGGTGCGTTGAATGCAATGCAATGAACGCGATAGCAAAATATAGTAATTTTAAAGAGAAAGTAAGGCTGGCAGCCAACTCTTTTGGATGCGATATCGCAGAACTCCTACAAAACGCTGGCGTGAGCAAATACGGCTGCTCCAGTGAAAAGTGCTCTTTTCACACAGTCCCTTCCCGTTGAAACCGCACTGATACTCCCCGAGACAGCAAGCGCGCCAGCGATCGCGACTGCCCTTAAAATCTAAGTTTATTATTGCTACTTGAGCGATTTCCCCCACCCCTCCCAGTGTTGTTTCATGCTCGTTCCAGACGGGTGGTTTACTTTCTGTGTGAACATTCGACGGCAGTTCTAACACGCTGGAGATGTTAAGCACTTTCCAGACGATAGGGATGAGCGGCTCATTTGATCTCTCCTTCAGCAGCGCTCGCGCGGTTTTACTTGCTCGCAAAATTTACGATGCGCAGGGCGTGTTATCAATTAGGACTTGTTACAGAACATGGTGGCGATGGAAAAAACCCTCCAAGACTGTTCATATAACTGGTATCGCAAAAATAACACAGTTTTTTGCTGTAAAAAAAGTGTTAGCTCTGCCTTCAGTCCCCTTTTGTTTAATTTGCGCGTTTATTTTCTAAATTTTCATACCGAACCTGCATATAACGAAATCCTCCCTATAAGGAACTCTCCCAGAAATTTACAAATTTCGTTATAATCCAGGTTTAAATGTACTTTTAACCCTTTAATGCCTGAATTATAAAACTGCCAAAAGAAAGAAATTTTCCAGTTTCCAACTTTAAATAGCAACCTTTAAAGAATTATGCAGTTAAGGTGCCTAAAATGAAACTTCAATGCACACTATTATTTACATAGCGAATTCTACATGTGCTGCCGAAACCAGGACCTAGCAACAAAAGAACGTACTTCTGAACCACGCTACATGTTGTCACCTCTTGGGTGCGTACGCACGGAATAAACAAAATTATCCGCGTTAGAACTTATGTCATCCAGGAGACAAAGTGTGTAGAAACGAGAGCTGAGTCGCGTGCTTAGCGCTCAAGCCATCAGCTACAAAACAATTGTTTCTAGCGCAAAGTACTTTACACAACATGGTGCTAGATTTTTCACGATGAAAGCTACGTTATTCGCATGTACTGTATTGAAGGTGGGGATTTCGTGACTTACTTGCCAGAAGTTTTTCGGTATGTCACGAATTCATGACACTTGGCACTAACAAGTTAAAGTCAATGCTTAGATTCCCCCTTTTTTTTTTCTCTAAGTAGATCGCACGATGGAATGTGTTGTGGGAAACTTCTACACTAGCAAACCGTACTTGACTGCCTGCTTCCCTAAATAGACCTAGAGCCCTCACAGAGTGTGTTTCTCTCTACCTGTGCCCCCCCTCTCCCAGGAACTAAGGTGCGACTGGCGACTCTGGAGATGTCTCTGCTGCTGCTTCGCCAGTTGGCCACAATCGACGGCGAGTCGTGTCTCCAGGACCACCACCTGGCCGGCTTGGAGCAGGCCAAGGAGGAGAGCACGCTGCTGCTCCGGAATTTCTACAAGGTGGGGGAAGAAGCAGGCTTGGAATTTAGGAAGTTTAACCCTTTGGAGGCCTGAATCGTGAAAGAGCTGAGCTGAACAACACGAAAATTGCAAATGAGTTCTGCGGAAACCTGCAAGGTGGCGGAAGGGTTAGGAAAGGGAAGAAGACTTCAAGCTACAGACGGGTGGTTGTCTTCTTTCCTTTTCTTGTAATAAAAATTGTTTAATTGTTTTTATTTTCAAACATTGAATAGCAATGCCCAATTGATTCTGTAGGTAAATTATCAAAATGTAACTTTAATGCACACATTTAGGTGTGTCGCTAATTTTCCACATGTCACGGAAGCGAGGACCTTGAAACAAAAAAAACATACTTCAGAACTACGTAATATTTTGCTTGGCACATCTTGGGTGTCCACACTCCAAAGAAACAAAATTATTGAAGATAGAACTTGCCTTACCCGGGTGATAAAGGACGAAGAAGTGAGAGCTGCTGCATATGCCTCACTCACTCCGCCATCAGCTGTAAAAAAATTGGTTCTGGCATAGAATACCTTACACTAGATGGTGCTAAATTTTTCGAGCTGAAGGCTATGTTCCCTGTAAGTACTTGATATTCGGCATTAAAGGCGGCACGCATTTCTTGACTTTCGTGCTCGAAGCTTTTCGGCGTGTCATGAATTCGCGACACTCGGCAGTAAAGGGTGAATGAATTAGTATACACTCGGTGAGAGATTGACATGCCATGCAGAGTAGGGAAATGCTCGGGAGGCTGGGTCTAGTTTGAGCAAAGCAACTTTGTCCTCTTTTCTGGCTATTACGCTGAGTGGGGGGGCAGATTATCGTGACACAGGTAAATACCTGGGTCAGTAATTTCGGTTTGAGGCTAAACCTTGAGATTGAAATTTGAGTATTGTGTAACGGGATATGCGACATAACTCGAGGCCTCAGTCTTAGACATAAGCTTGAGACTTCGGTATGGGACATAACCTCGAGACTTTACTCGGAGACATAAGCTCGAGTCTGTGTCTATGACAGACTTCAGACAGACTCCGAGGTCTGGTGCAAGTCTGAGACTTTGCCCTGAGGTTGAATCGGAGACCTTCCCCGTCAAGCCTTGACACTGATTGCACCCAAGGGGGTCGACTCGTGAGCAAGTTTTGACAACCTGTGCTCATCGTTGACTGCAGTACGGAAGTGCTGAATTGCTTTTGCTAGGCCATCACAAAATCCTCAGCAAAGAGCCCTTGGTGTGTGCTACAGATCACGGCTGTTTTGCAAGGGGCTATGGTTATGGGGAATTCCGTATAAAGCGCTGCTGTTGACACTAAGACATCTTTTGCATTTGTTTATGTCTCTCCAATCCTTGCATGGGCCGACAACTGTCCGCAGAGTGAGGAGATGTTCCTCGACATGTTTGAAGACGAGTACCAGGAGATGAAGGTAAGTACCGCTGTACAATATTTAGCAGTATTCTGCCTTTTATCATGATACTAATTAATATGGACCTTCCAATCATGTTTTTGTCATCAGTAGTAGTTATTCTACCTTTTTATTGTGATACCAATAATTTTATGTTTTTTTTTTTTTCATCAGTGTCACCATTATGTTCCATATAAGGTCAAAGCTGTGTCCTGTGCCTTCTGTGTTCTGTGCTCGAGTGAAAGAGTTGACGTGAGAAGACCGCTGATGATTGTGGTTCCAGCGTGAGAAAAATGCGCCTGCTGCATCTCCCTTCCCACGAAATTCCCATAGAGAGGGGTGGTTCTCCAGATAGAAAGTGGGGGAGGGAGTTCCCAAACAAGAAGAAAATGGTCCCAGAGGGGTGGTAGAGGAGGGGGAAAAGGTTTGCGATACACTGTCGTTGGACGTCATTGCCCAGCTCTGCCCCTTTCTTGTTCTCCTTGTGACGCAAAAGAAAGTGACTGGCACGAAGTATGTAATGACATTTTACGTTATTTTTCCCCGCTAATGCTGGCGCAGAAGAAACCGCTCAACGTGGAGTACCTGATGATGGACGCCAACCTGCTGCTGCCGCCCATGGGGACGCCCATGTCCGGGGTGGAGTTCCACAAGCGCCTGCCCTGTGGCGAAGTGGAGAGGATGCGAAGGGTTTGGCTCTACCCCCTTTTAGTCCTTTTTCAGTCGTGGCCTCCTCTTTTTTCCTTTTTTTCCCCCCCACCTCGCGGATCGGCTCATAGCGCAGAGCAGCAGGGAACGCGAACACCAAGAGAAACAACAAATGGACACGAGTGCCAGAAATAACGTTTATTGTTGGTGCCTACATCCGCTTCTGGTTTCTTCCACTGTCCTCGTTTTTCTTTCATTTGCTGCGCAGTGGTACAGTCAATTCCACGATGACAAAACAATGAGACTATAGTAGTACATTTGTCGTGCTTTCCTCATTGGACTCTTTGTGTTCCATAACTGTTTTCTAATCGTTTAACTGTTTTCTAAAGGTGGCTAAACATCACATGTGACACACCCCGCACACTGTAATTCATGGAGAAGTTGACGGAAGGGTCTTCGCTAATTGCCGTGAAGGCACCATGCACACTGAAATTTAATATAACCCGCATTTCGTCTTTAGCTCCAAATATTCTGTGTTTTATGCGGGTTCTGTGTGAGAAAGTGCAGTAGATCGGCCGGGCAGATATTATTTTTGATCGAAACAGTATGCTTAGGGTAAAAGCAGAGCGCAAAGAGATGAGACAGGAAGACGGAACGGGTGCTCAAGTGCGCTTGTCATTTTGCGAGTTGGGATGTTGCCTGCAGGTGTTCACATGCTCAGTGCCAAGTCGTGCCGAGTCTCACGATTCTGATTGCATCCCCGATGACGACCGACCACAAATACAGCTTCTGGCCTGGTTAAAAGGAACACTAAAGAGCAAAACAGTGTTTCGTAAATGTACTAGTAAAGTACAATTTCACAATCCCGAAAACACCACACTTACCGCGACACGACGCTTAGTAAGCAAAAAGACATACGAAAAGAAAATGCGGGTGGTGGCGCCAGCCACCTCGACATTCGCACACCAAATGCCGTAATGCAGAAGCTTTTGACAGCATCTAAGGCGTCCTACGTAGCTTCTGATCGATGAAAATGAAGTACATTGTCATCTGTGGCTGTTAGAGACACGGCATGTGAAGTTCCAAAAATTTCATCCAGCGACTGTCGCGAAAACACCAAAAATGCATTTTGAAATTTTTTTACGTCGTGCGCGGGCATTTCAACCTGAAATGTATAAATAAAACTTCAACCTTGATGATCTCCACTAATGCTGAACTTACAATGGTGAAACATGTGGCATTGGTGTTCTCAAAGTGCAGTTCGTTAATCTAAACCAAGTCATTGTTTCTCTTCAGTGTCTGTGTCAATGATGCGCTTTGCCAATTCTTGCTTCTTTATTGTCATGGGTCCAGCTCCCCACTTAGTGTCTTTTTTATTTATTTACTTACAGGCTATACGAGTGTTTTTCCTGCTACGCGAGCTCTCCCTGTTCCTGAGCAACGATCGGGAGACGCAGCTGCCGCTCACAAACTTGGCGAGCTGCGTCAAGGTAGACGACGTCCTTGACCTGAGTGAGTGCGCTGTTCTGTTGCGGGGTACTGTTGCTAGTTTTTAGGGGCAAAGCTCCTTATGGTCTAGAGTGATCCTGCGTCCTTCGGGCGGCGTAGCCACCCCAGCATATCCTCAGACAAACAGATGGACGGACGGATGGATGGTCGTTTCGCCCCAATCGTCATCATTCACTCCGTGGATACGCTGAATTTTTTTTTTCTCATAGGGATGCAATAACTTCTAAAAGCGGAATTGTTTGCTAAAGCTGGTGATCAGTCTGGAAAGGGCTTCTCTGCAGTTTTCATTGTCTGTCACGCCATCGCTATAAAACTTGCTTGTTTCCGTCATTGACTTGCAGCTAAGATGTTAACAACTACACTCAAACCTCATTATAAAGAGTGCAAACATATGAAATTATCAATTACAATAACGTAAATGAATATCAGTGTCATCGTGAGGTTAAAAATGCGCTCCATTAGAGAATTTCCGCATGTGACAAAATTAATTTTGTGGTATGTGCGACTTCGTTATAAGCTTGTAGCATATATAGTTGTGTACGCCTTACGAAATGCGGGGCATTGTTTTGAATAGTACACCCATTGGCACACATATCTTGGTTTTGGGACATACACCGCGGAAAATATTGGAAATATGTATAACTGAACATGTGAAATCGGCTTACAGATATTCAATAACTGAGCAACTTTTATCAAAATCAGTTTAAAAATATTTTAGAGAGAAGGGTTTCCCCTTATTTAACACAATTCAAATTAGGGCCTGGGAGAAAAATGTGCGTTGTAGTCCTCTTGCAGTATCTCTTCTACTTGTACCATTCGTCTTTGTGCTAGCTGTTACAGAGAAAAGCTCGTTTTTGTGAAACGCAAGCAGCGGTTGTGATTGTTGTGCCACTTGTCTCTTGCGACGCAGACAACAGCGACCTGATCGCCTGCACGGTGGTGAGCAAGGACACGCAGAAGATCCGGCGCTTCATGGTGATCGACGTGGCGCAGCTCGTTCTCGTCGAGCCCGACGCCAAGCGGCTCGGCTGGGGAGTGGCCAAGTTTGTGGGCTTCCTTCAGGTACGCGCTGTCCCATGCTTGTGTGCTGCACGTTCTGCGTGCATTCCCGTTATTTCAGATGTTGTTCATAATATCGCATAAGTTTCGCAGTATCTACTTGAAACCCCTGTACTTTTCCTGACATTATACGGAAAGCATGAGAACTCATTAGAATGGCATGCGGAAATTTTCGTGTGGGAAAAATTCCAATAGTGTCAGCAAGCGTTTCAAAGCCCAGAGAAGTACGGTATTGTGAGCATAAGGTAGAAATACTTCAAAATGTTTGTGCACCTCAGCAATTCTGAAGGAAGCCTAGTGCCAACATGAAACTAAGCTACCAAAAAAAAATTACTCTGAGGACATTATGGTCACACTGGTTTACAGTTGCCTCAGATTTCTAGGACCCCAGAAATTCAGTCTTATTGGATATTTCGGGCTTCACAATTGCACCGTCAAGGTTTCTATTGCACTAATGCATTTTTGTGACCGATTTCTTAAATGAATTTATGTTCCAGAGTTTGATGTTCAGGATCAAATTGTTTGTTTTGAGCCGTGCCGCTAGATTTTGAAAGCCACCATGTTGGATTTTTTGCTTGCTTGGTTCCGTTTGACTAGCAGCGCCTTGTTGTGGTGCCTCCAAGCTTGGGAATGCGCACGAGATTCCAGTTTCAGAGGCCAGGTCTGATCTTCCTCAGCTAGCAAAACGGCAAAACATTTCTTTTTCAGTCAGCCTTATCCTCATCATTAATACGCCAGTAGGTTATTTTTTATTTCCTGGGCGTTTGTATTTCTGGTTGTCATTGCGCGCATGGCCGTGTCTGTGTGTGACCAGTGTGTTTGAGCCGTCGTGCATCGCATGCTTCCTTCTGTTTGCTCAGTAACACTCACGGAGGGGAGGGAGGGGAGGAGCAGAGGTCTGATTGTGACCGCGACGGTCGCACTTCGATGGTCACGAAATGCTGGAGGCTCACATTATATGTGGCGTCGGTGCTGGTAAAATAAACCCAGACCGTGTTGTTAAATCCCACGACACAGGCGAGACATTGCAGGCATCTTTTTGCAACTGACATCGAGTTTGGTTTGCTTGGTTCGATGAAGTCGCCAACTTTGCCACTGCAACAGTCGACGGCAGCGAGGGGATTGCCAATTGCAATTGCCAATGATGATGCCATAGCACGAATAGAACCAAATTCGCTTGTCCTAAAGGACAACATGAAGCATAGCATTACTGGGAATTCTTTTTTAGGCTTTTTTTAATCCAAATAAATTTCTTTTTCACGTCTCAACTATTTTTTCAGACTGTTCGATTTTTCGTACTATTTCGCGGTCCCCGCCAGGTTTGGAACATCGGTCCGCGACTATACGAGTAATAGAGTAGTGGTGTCGAAATTGCAAAGAAGTTGAAGTCTGGGTTTCAATTATTTTTCTCTAGTAAGTGACTCTACATGGTCATAAAATTATGTTAATGGGGTTCTGAGGGCATATACTTTCATCATATTAAACTGTTTCTCTTTAATAACCTTGCAGAACATCCTCTCAGTTGCTGCTCATAACTGCTGCTCTTGCAACGGTGTGAGAGCCATTCTAGTTGCATACAAATTGGCTTCTCATTTTGAAGTCCTCCACATGTTTTGCAACATGAACACTGATTGATTGATTGACTTATTTATTTATTTATTGGCTGGTACTCAGGACATTGAGGTCACAGGCGACAAGGAGGACAGCCGGTGCCTACACATCACGGTGCACAGCAGGGGGTCGGCGAGCCGCAACGCGAGCGGCCCCGGGAGCGTGCCCCTCCTGGCGGCGCGATTCCTTTTCGACGACCACATCCGCTGCATGGCGGCCAAGCAGCGTCTCAACAAGGGGCGCATGCGCGCGCGACAGCGGAAGATGCATAGCATCGCCCGCCTCCTGGACCTGCCGCTGCAGCCGCCGTCGCCCCTGCGGCACCATCCGCACACACCCAGGGCGCCGTGCGGACCGGCGGCATCTCTGTCGGCCGCGTCGAGTGAGTGCTTTTTGCGACGAAGCTGCTAGAATGGTCCGCACGACGTGTGGCTTCTGTGATGCATAGGGTTCCCAAGTGTATTCGTAGTGGCTTTGCACTCAAACCTTGATGTAAGATCCCAGATATAACGAAATATCTGTTATAACGAAGTACAAAAGAACCCCTTTTTAAGAAGCATGCTCTGGGCAGCAGTTCTTGTCTTTCATATCAGATTTCTCTTATAAGCAGGGTACCACATACGCATTTTTTCTATCAACTCATATTTTACTGTAAGCGCACTTGTATCTCTTATATCAGTGTCTCTTACAAAGGAGTTCAACTGTATAGGAAAAATAATCTTGCAAAAGATATAGTGTACGGAATAAACCTTTATGACGAATTTTCGGATGTAACAAACTTATTTTCGTATAAGATGCAACCTCATAATAATTAGGTTTGATTGTATTTACTTTATTTACACTTGACCAACATTACTACAAAGCATTGCATGGGGTGTACATGGATTACAAATCAGCAGAAATAGCAAGAACTTGTTGTACAAGATACGTCTTGTTGTGAGAAAAGAACGAAGCTTATATATTATGTGGAATTATACAGAATTTGCAAGTGTGTATTACTGCAAACTTTTTCCTGATAGTGGAGAGACTTTGTGTGGATAATTACATTTATGTTGGCAATATTGATTACTACTGTATGGTAAGGAAGAAAAGAAAGAGTTCATTATTACCGTATAATGCGGAATATAGGTCGAGGCGGAATGTAGGTTAACCACTGTACCTTGACCATCAAAAAAAAAAGAAAAACACAATTGTTCATGGATTCACTTTATTCAGTCCTCCGAGTTGTCGAAGCTGTCCTGCGACGGCGACACCCATAGCATGTCGTCCTCAGTGCTGCCGAGAGCGTTGCTAATGCAGCACTTCTTGAATGCACGCACCTCCATGCCTCGGAGACCCAACCAGAAACTGTCACGAGAGTTGGCCTGCGCAGCCGGCATGTCGGGGTCCGCGGGTTGTTGCCAGTCATCCATTCAGTGTACAACGCATGCACACAGTCTTTGAAAGGTTTATTAAGGACGAAGTCCAGAAGTTGCAGTGTTGACATCATACCTCCTGAAATGACAAGATCTGTCTTTCCTTCGTGAAGGCTCTCCTTCACAGATGCCGTCAAATGCCCGCGAAATGCATCCAACACGAGCACGTTTTGGTGCTGCAGGAGGGCTCCGAACCTCCAGTTCTACACTGTGCTGATCCACTCGCGCTTTAGGGCCTCGTCCATACAGCCCTTCTCGGTGACGCGGATGATGACATCCCGTGGAAAGGCCTTCTTCGGCATCGTCTTCCGCTTGAGGATGATGAAGGGTGGCAACTTTCTGTTGTCGGTCGTGCAGGAAGGCATATCGGTGCAGTGCAAATGCATGCTTCCGGTCGACGAAAACTTCACCTCTTTTGCCCCGTGTTCACAAACATTTGTGGACGACGGCATGTCGAACCACACCGGCATTGCGTCGGCATTGCCGATTTATCCTAGCATGTAGCCATGCTTCCGCTGGAGACTGTTCACGTAGAGTTGAAACTCTATCAATTTGTCCTCGTACAACTCCGGCAGCTTCTGGCATATCGACGTGCACCGTCGAAGGGCAAATCCCTTGTGTCGCATGAAGCGACAAACCCAATAAATAGATCCCTTGAAGTCTTTCTTTTACAGACCGGCTTCGCAGGCGAGCTCGGCGGCTTTTGAGCGAATGAGCTCCGCATTCACTGGCTGGCACGGTACTCGCGGACGAAATCCGCCACTTTGTCCTCAAGTTCCGGGTGCATAGCTCGGCGACCGCGAAACAATGTCTTCCCAGTGTTACACACTGACAGTTTGGTATTTCGGTTGTGCCAGTAATTGATGCTTTTCTCGGACACTTCAAACTGCCGCTGTGGCGCCATGTTGCCATTCGCTTCCGTGAATTCAATACAGTAAAAGCTCGTTAATTCGAATTCCACGGGAATGCTGAGCAATTTTGAAATAAACAAAATTCGGAATAATGAAAGTGAGCAAAAATGGGTGGATTTCAGGGGTGGGTGCACGAAAAATATTTATTAGCCAAAAAAGTCGGTGATGACCACCTGCTTCTTTTCTCTGAATGCCACAGCTGCGGCTCTCTGTTCCAGCGCGCGGACGCGGCGCAGGGAATCCTCTTTGCCCTCTTCAAAGCTGAAGAAGAGACGCGCCACATTAAGTGCCTCCATCACCGCAGAAGCTGACGGGCGCACAGGCGCTTCGGCATTTTCGTCTTCCTCACCTTCTGGCTCTTCAGCATCAGGCTGCGCACCGGCTACTTGAGCGATAATGTCCTCATCAGTCAGGGCACCACACACCGATGCACCGGTGTCAACTTCAACATAATCGGCAAAATGTACGCCCCGAAGAGTGTCGCGCAATGCCACTGGCATGAGCTCCTCAGCCCCATCCACGTCGACGTCACAACTATCCTGCGCACTTCCAGCTGCAAATCCACTGTGGCGGAAACAGTTTGCGATTGTGGTCGCAGTCACCTGTTCCCATGCGCGCACCAACATGTGCATGGCAGTGAGCAGCGTAATGCCGAAGTCCTTCTTGTCGCCCGCGCACAAAATCATTCTCTCCAGCACGTGACGCCTATAAAAGCACTTAATGTTCCTTATGACACCCTGGTCCATTGGCTGTAGGGCCGCAGTCGTATTTGCCGGAAGGAACACCAACTTAGTTGCTCTCAGCTCAACATCGACTTTGTGCGCCGAACAGTTGTCGACGACAAGAAGAACGCGTCTGCGGCCCAGTTCCATTCGCCTGTCGAATTTCAGTAGCCACTTCCTGAATAGGTCACCTGTCGTCCAGGCTTTCTTGTTTGCGGCGTACCCCGTCGGCAGTGGGTGAATGTTTTTGAAGCACCGTGGCTTGAGTGCTTTGCCAATCACAAAAAGGGGGACCTTTTCCGTACCGGTCATATTTGCGGCGACCAGAACAGCGACACGCTGTTTGCTGCGCTTGCCGCCGGCACAGCTGTCTCCCTTGTAGGTGATCGTCTTGTCTGGCTGCAACTTGAAAAATAACGCTGTCTCGTCAGCGTTAAACACATCCTGTGGTGAGTAGCTCTCCAAGTACTGCTGCAGGGTGTCACTTCTCCAAGTAGCGCATGTTTCGGCATCCACTTCCTTTGCCTCGCCGGATAACGTGCGGAATACGGGATTTTGCCACTCCCTGAAACGATGAAACCATCCCTCGGAGGCGACAAAGTCTTCAATGTCCAAGCGCAGGGCGAAATTGGCTGCCTTGGCCATGATGATAGGGCCGCTCAATGCGATACTCTGGGCTCTCATTTCTTTAAGCCAAATAATCAAAGCTCACTCCAGTTCTGGGAACTTCGCTGTCCTTAGCCTTTTTCGACTGGCGCCAAAATCCTCGGCTTCATAGGCGTTTTCAAAGGCCGTCCTGTTGCAAATGTAGGTTGACAGCGTGCTCGGAGGTATGCCGTGCTTCCTCGCAATTTCGTATTTGCTCGAGTTCCCTTGGTCAACCTTTCGCAAAATCTCTACCTTCTCCTTGACAGTCTTCGCGTAGTAGTTTCCCCGCGGCATCTTGCAACTTCGATGCGGAATAAGAAGGCTTGACGGCGTGAACGAACAACGTGAGCTTAGGACTGCTAGGACTACTCCGCCGACTCCTCAGCGTCCCGTGGGTCCCGCGTACAAGTGGCGCCAGGCGCTGAGATAGCAAGAGGGCTACAGAAAAAAAAAAAAAAAAATTGCTCCCTGAATTTTGGAGGCCATACTTTGCTCCCCCTTTGCTCAGAGGCTACTTGAAGCTCGAAAAAACTGGTCGTGCCATCTATCGTTCGACCGTAAAAGCTTCCACTAGTGTTTGACGATGATGACGCTCGGCGGCGCGCGCTTCGAATTATCCGTAGAGGCAGCAATTTCTGTGCGAATTAACGAATCGTTTTACACATGGTCTCCTATGCACTGCGGACCGGACTGCGGCGACCATTTCGAATTGTACAAAATTTCAAATTAATGAGGTGTGAATTAACGAGCTTTCACTGTACCTTTTCCTTTAAACGCGACGGTGAACTGGCGCCGCGTGCCGGTATTCATGGCTGGTCGCAGAGTAAGGTAGCCACTCGCTACGAATACTGAATGAATAAGAAAATAAAAATGGCATCGGCAGAGAACGGGTCGGCCTAAAGAGCCGATGCTGATGCCCAAAAAGCTTGCGACACTCCCTGTTGCCAGACGATCACTTGGTTTATGCCAAGGGCCAGTATATAGGTCGAGGGGGGACTTTCTGGTGACATTTTTTGGAAAAGTATCTCGACCTATATTCCGCACAATACGGTAGTTATGTTGGTGATATCCTCTGGTTGTGCTTTTGAGCTTGTTTTCTCATATTTTTCATTATTTCGTTTGTTCTGTGAGGTATATATGGGAAGTATAGGTATTTTATTATGTATACTATAAGGAAATATAAGCCAAGTTTTTGCCATGTTCAGTGTTTCACAAAACTGTCCCGCTTGAAACACAGTGTAGATGAAGAGGACAAGCACACCACAGGCACTGAATAACAGCCAGCATAGGACATTTCGGAGGCAGCGCATTTCGATCTCTGCTGCGATTTGTTCTGGGTCCACTCTTAATTGGGCATTATTTTTGCCGTGTATGAACCAACTTGCCCAGGCCAGTTATACTTCTGTTCTAAGGTGTTGTGTTTCACAAGTCGGCACGTGTTGAGAAAAATTACCCGCCATTGCAGACCAATTTTTCGGGCCTTGAGGGTACTGGGAAATAGTCCGAAAAACCAAACAGTCTGAAAAAGTGGTTAAAACATAAAAATGAATTTGCTTCGATCAGAGTCTTAAAAAAAAAAAAATCCCCGATTATGCACTGCTTCTTGATGTGCTTGGGAACGAGCAGGTTTGGTTGCATTTGGGCTACGGTAATGGCAATAGCGCATTGGCAATTGGTGCTCTGACCTACGCGACCGGCACAGTTGGTGGCTCGGCTCCATGGCACCAATCAAACAAAACTTGATGCCGGTTGCAAAAAGACACATACAATGACTGTTTATTAGATGGGATTTAATGACGCTCTTACAACCTTCGCTGACATCGCACAGAAGAAGAGCCTCCAGCATTCTGTCTGCAGCCTTTCGCCTCTGTTGAAGCGCTACCGCCGCGACCGCAAATGAACCCGTGCATTTCGGGTCAGGGTCCGAGCACTGTAACTTCCGAGTGCTACCGAGCAATCGCAACAGCTGAGAACATATGACGCACACAACGGCTCAAGGACGTTTCACGCACCACCAGCACGACCACGTGTGGAACGACAACCAGAAAAAACAATAGGTCTCTTCGGTCTGACTGCACCGGCAGCACTAGTTCAACGGTGGGAGCACCTTCCTCTTCGATTCGCTGGTGCTGTGCGTGCTCTCTGCACTGGTTGTTTCATTTCGCCGAGGTACACGCGTAGTTCTGCGCGAGTTCTCTGCCGGCGTGCACTCACTCGAAAGTAGGTGCAAAGAAGTAGCCTGCGCCTCTTCCTTCTCGCACACTTAGAGCTCAGGAGGCTGTGTGTTCTTGTTTTGGGCGTGCATGCAAAAGCGAGTTAAGCTCGGGCCAACGGCGAACAATCTTAGCTGCGTCATTCTGGCAGCTACAAATGTGGAGCTTTGTGCGTGTCTTACGAGCTGAAAAATCTGCTGTAGTTGACGGCAATAAGAATGGCAGGGGAAAAAAAAAAAGGTCAGTAACGAAGATGTCTTTGCGAAAGCGTGAAGCCAATGCAATAGGAAGCCTTCAGGAAAAACTGTTAAGTTTTTAAATTCATTCACCACCAGAGCTTGCATACGTGTCCTAAAGATATAGTGTGAAGAAAAGTGACTCTGTCAATAAAAGGTTTCGAACACAAAGCGAGCGCACACTTTCATGGATATCTGAAGTTTCACGTTTAGGTTGTCTTAATGTCGGTCAAAGGACCTGAGAGATATTTTGCCTTTCTTTGCTCTACGGCCTTGCACACACTTTAATAGAAGGCCCAAAGCAGCAGCATTTGCCACTGAACCAGTAAAACACCGTTCTAGACAGTCTAAAACAGTCTCTTGAGATCACACTCCATGGAACCTTCTAACGACGTTCCCGTACCAGGGATCGTCGGCGTATAAAAGATATAATTTGACATTAAATGCGGATATTTTTTTCATTCTTGCAGGTCTGATGCACCGAAGTCTCTCACAGGACACGGGGCTCCGCGGTCGGGCGGGTACCGCGGGCGCGGCAGGTCCTCCTACGCACCACCAGCCATACAGGCCACTGTTCACGACGTCCTCGAAGGTGCCCGGCTTCGCCACAGCACGATCCGGGCACCGGGGCAGCGCTGGTGACATCGAAGGTCGGCAGCGAAGGTACGCCGCCCTGTCGTTCGGTTCTCGCTGTGCCTCTGAGGTGGTGGTGGGGCTGTCTAGATGGGCGTCTTTTGGTTGTTCACTTGGCACCAATTACGACCCCAGGCGTTCGGGGAGCAGCCCCGTCTCTCGCGGCCGGTCAACGTCGCGGGAGTCGTCTCCACGCCTCGGTCACCGGTCGCGGGACCACTCTGAGGAGATTCCTCTGGAAGACCTGTCAACCAGGGTCACGGGCAGCCAGTCTCCTGTGCAGGTGGGTCCTGCGTCCGCTTGCGTTGTCTACGGATCTGCTTACATGTGTGGGCATCGCTTGCGTTGAAACCATAGTGATTTTCAGCCTGTGTGTAAGCCCTATACGTGCCAATGCTTGATGTTAGGAATTCTGGACAAAAGCGGACATACATATCGAATGATTGAGAAATACTTTAATAAACTTTTGACTGCCACGGTGATCGAGCAATTTAAAGGGGCTCTGAAACACTTTTTTAAAAAACCATGGCATTAAGTCACTGGAAAAAGGTATTGCCTCACAAATTCAACGCCTCAAAAATTTTAAGAATCCGTCCAGTACGAGCGGAGTTACAAAGATTTGTCACACGCTGCAATCGCATTCTCTCTTTTCTCGTCCCGACAAAAATGCTGGAAGCTAAGCAGGGAGGGGTGGGAGGGGCAAACAAAAAACGTCATGTGTGCCTCGTGTCCTTGAGCACTTTTTTTTTTCTTCGAATGCGTGGCTTTTTCAGTGTGACTGTGCGCGCACGCGTAGACAAGGCACGGCCTTCCACGGCGATTTCTGTAAGGACGAAGCGTGCCATGTTCAAATCAGCCAATGGCTGATAGATGGGTTTAGTACGAGTGATTTTTGGGCCTATTGCGTGATTTGTCAAGAGAGGAAAGAGCTATTTTTAACTGAATTTGATAATTTGTTGTGTATTTCAGGCCGCGTGCTCCTCTATAATATCTGGCTCGCGTGTTGTCAGGAGCCTCTACTACAGATCGGCAGCGTTTTCTGACCATGCTCAAAAAGTGTTGCAGGGCCCCTTTAATTAGGCTTTTTGTCAAGCTGTCGGAAGACAGTTTTCATTCGCTACTCCTCTGTCTGTTTTTTAAATGGACTCGAATAAAGTTGATTGATCGATTGATTATATGTTTCCCAAGATGAGGCCCTGCTCCGGCAGTCCCAGTGAAGGCAGTTCCAGCGGTGTCTGCAAGAAACCGCGCTCCGAGGAAACGGCAATGGACCAGTCTGCCTCGCCGGAGGTCGGGGCTCCCGCGGTCTCGCTGGTGGTCCCGTCGACGGACTTTGAAGTGCCGCTCTTGCTTCCGCCCAAAGAAGGTTCCGCCACCACGCTTCCGTCGCCTCCATCAAGGTAGGTCGTTGAACCATGATGGGATGTGGTGCTGGACGGCTGACATGGGATCGAGTCCCGTCCATGTGGTTTGGGTTTTTGTTGGAGATGAAAATGCCAGAGGATTGGGTACTTGGAGTTGAGTGCACGGGTTAAAAAACACTAGGGGGCTCAAATTTCTTATACGACATTCCTCGTAATTTTATTGTAGTTTTTCGACATAAAGCCTCCTTTAATTATTATTGAGGTAGTTTATGGGGCCCCTTTTGATTATATGGCTTTTCGTATATGTATGCACATTTGTAAAATGCACGTGTGACGATAACATTTATAGTGTTACCTTTTTCTATACTAGTCTAAATGTTTTGTTCTCTATATTGCCTATAAATGTGCGTTATAAATGTGTGTGCCTATAATGTGTGTGTGTTCCAGCACCTTTCCCTACAGCACCCTTACTGCATTGATAGCTTGCTACCGATGGCTTGAATTGCCGCATTCGAGACATTCCCTGACATTCGCAGACACGCTGCGCCACGTACCATGAAGGAAAAGAAGTATAGTTTTTTTCTTCACTTAGTCAGCTTTTTGCCCATGTAGCCTTGATTTTCGAACACCCTCTGACGCTTCGCAATAGTCCAAGCAGAAAGTGAAAATAACTGCCGCCACCGGATGCAGTGCACATGCTTCGGAAGATCGCAGATGTCAGCATTTCGGAGTGTTTGCGTCTGATTTTATCCATTTGGCGAGCGGCAGAAAGTCAGAGGACATTAGCTTTTTGTCTGGCTTTCTCTCTAACAGCAACAGTGATGCGAAGCAGCCTCGAACATCGATCAGCTTTGATTTCTGCTTCGTGCAGTCTCAGTTCATGTTTCAGCACCGGCCTGCCGGGATAGAAATCGCTAGAAACTGGGAAAGGCAAGTATTACTAGGCAACCAAGCGGAAAGTAAGAGTAAGCAAGACGTGCAACGTTATGATGCTATGCCTTACATTGTGTAACTGCTTCGCTGTATTACATGCCCAATCGTTATGGTGCGACATGGTTTACTGAGGCTGGACATCAGGGAAGCTCGGCAAACCTTAAGATCGTCGAAGAGTAGTGGGCGTCAAGTAGCCGAAATTTGGGCAAGCGCGAGCGCGAGTCTGGTGCTGCTACTGACGTTGGTGCTTGCTTGCTCGCTCGTCTTTCGACGTCGTCTTTCCTTCACTGCAATGGTTACAGTAAGATTTTTCTTGACAAAAGTTGAAGTTTTTCAGAGAGGTCTATAAGATGGCTGTACGCTTATTACATCTCATAATTTTGGTTATGTCTTTGCCCTACAAACACGGATCAATTATGTCCTGAAATTCTGAACTTGGCAACTTGCGTTGCTCGCATGACATTCATCGCATTAATAAAGCTTGTATTTATGAAAAGTTGATACACTCTGCTTTCCGTTTATTAGAGCTCCACGAATAGCAAAATTTTGAGTGCGAAGCAAATTCTAATATCGAAGAGGAAGTGCTAGTCAAATATTTTTTTTTCTAATATTTCTCAAATATTTCAAAGTGAAATTACAGCAAAAGAAAAGTTGGAGAGGATTTTTACGCACGTTCTTAAGAGATAGCTGCACAAAAGTGTTTCTTTTAGTGAGGATTGATCAAGTGCTGGCAGGGTGGTGTTTCATGGTAGTTTCATTGTGGTGCGACTAAAGTGTTGCCAACAACACTTTACACATGAAAGGCAAAGATGCTATTTCCTCGGCCTTGCCTTTTTGGAAGCACAACTGATGTGGCAGGCAACCATGTCCGTAGTTCCTAATCTGCCTTTTAGATGTTATATATAAAAACACCTGAAATTGTGGATGCTAAACATTTTCAGCCTCCAATTTTTCGGACTGTTTACATAAATTTCAGATTCAAACGACAATATTGGAGCTCCATTTTTGCCACACCTATCATCTACTTGGTAGAAACAGCTTGTTTTTTTCTGTTGTTTTTGTAATTCACTTGAACATCTTTTGAACGTATGATCTAATACAGTGTCAATTCATTTACCATTATTTAGATGACAAATATCAGAACAAACATTTTTGTGGTCAGATGCAACTTTCTTATAGTTAACTGTAGCTGTAAAACTATTTTTTCTTGTTAGTTGAGTTGAGTTGTCATCTGCTCTTCCGCTTTCGTTTTCTTTTCTGCCCAGTGTCGACGAGATGGGCGACAGTCCAGCGACCGAATGCCGGAAGCCATGCTGCTTCAGCGAGACGTCGTTCTCGGAAGGGTCCGGCACGGCGGAGCACTGCAATGGTGACTTCTCGGAGGACACTGCGACGTGCCGGTCGTCCTCGGACGAGACGACCGTCCTCGGCACGGAAGTTGTCGACGACGGCTTCGAGGCAACCCTCACGCTGGCCGCGACATCCAAGGCCAAAGGTGTGGTGCACACAGTCTGACAAGGACGAAGCGGCCCGTCGCACCACTCGGGCCTCTGAGCTTCACACTGCCACTGGTTTATATCTCAGTCTACAGTGGCGGCCTGTAGCCCTCAGTTGGGTAGGAGGCGGTTGCAGCAGCACGTCTCTAGGGTGCTGTGGTCTGTGTTTCAAAATAGCCTCGTGCAGATTTGAGAGGAGGCGTTATCTCTGGCACCAAATCTGGTATTCCCGTCTAAATGCACGCACGAAGAACAGTTTCATTTTGACGATTTGGTAGTACAACAGTGCTCTCCCATTCACACCTGCGACTTGCATCGGTCGCGCTGCCGTTTTGAAACGGAGAATCAAGGCAGCCGATGTCCACACCTGCGTGCAACTTGTGCCCATTGTTCCTCGGAATTATCATTCGCTCGCATGTTCCTTCCATTGCCATTGTTTTGGAAAATAAGCCGACGTATTTTTCGGGCACACGTGATTGGTTGTGCGCGTTGTGCCAAAGCTTTGCGACGCGTTGTGCCAAAGCTTTGCGACGGAACTTGCGTGGCTGAAAAATCGAGCTGCGAGCAGCTCAGCCAGAGCAGTTGCCTTACGACCAAAGTGGGCATTTGCAACCCTTCGTGTCTAAATGAAATCTTGATGGGAGCCAACCAATGGAAACAACGTAGTGTGATAATCGTAAGATAAACAAGTGAAATGCCTCAGACTGGGTGGCCGACGTTTCGATAGGAAAACCTATCTTCCTATCGAAACGACGGCCAGCCAGTCTATGGCACTTCACCTGTTCATATTATGATTATCACACTTTGTGTCTAACTGGTAGCACAACCGGTGCTAATCACGGCTGTCAATGAGTCTTGACAGAAACAAGAAAGAGTGTGTAGTGGGAAGCTGATGTTTTTGATCTCTGTTAGTTTCGCACTATCAATATCATCAGGAAAAAAAAAATCATGCGGCCTAATGTCCATGTCGAGAATGCCCTGTGTAGGCAACTGCTTTCTCATGTCGATGGAAATTTTCATATTTCAGAGAGATGGCGAGAGCTTGGCGCTTCACTGACTGTGGTACATCGAATTCGGCTTTACGGCCTCTGGAATGATACAAACGTTAGCAAGTTAAAACAAGAAACGAAAGCCCATTAACAAGTCTTGAGCTCTGCTTTGTCGGAGTATTCAGAAGGACAAAACTTGATGTGCGAGTGCAGCTTGCGTGAAATGATTTGATGCTGGTGTTCTCAAATGTTTTCGCAATCTTCAGCAACTCGGATAAATAGGAAGTTCAGTTTAGGGGTAAATAGTTTTGGTAATTTATTTATAAATTTTATCAAGGTGCAATTGCTTTCCTGTGTATTCATGTGGGAACCTCCCCTGAGCTAACGCTTCCTCTTAATTGTCGAGCGGTGGAACGTCTTGGCTGTAAAAGGGGTTGAGAGCCAAGTCCGAATAGCTGCTTGTTTTGTGCGCAAGAAAGGTGTCCCACTCAACGAGGGAGAACTTTGATTTCCAGTGGCTGGGTGCCGAGAAATCGCACATAACGCGACGCCACTAACAAGCTTTCACGGTGCAATGGCTCAGCGAGCCAACTGCAGTACAAGTAGGATTGTCGCAGAAGTTTTTCGAGTTCCAAGAGGATATGTCTCGCTGGGAGTTTCCTTCTCTTGGCACGTACTTGCGTGGTTCGTCCCGAGCTTTTCCAGACGTCCCAAAGTGTTCACTTTGGCGACCCTCGTGGATCCGTTACACTTGCCAGACGTGTTGACATCTGGTACTTGTTTTTTTACGTGTCCGGGGCCGAAGTTTTGTGCCTCGGGCACTTTGTGGTGCACGGTTGTTATTAATTTATACTTCTCCTTCTGACGGGCAATTCAAACATTTAGACTCTATTTGTAGATCAAGCCGTCTGACCGAAAATTTTTTTTAACAGGAATCGTCTACGACATATTTTTCCTAGTGCTAGCTTTTGTGCCGCAAATTTTCGTCACACAGGTGCTGAGGCATCAAAATTTTGTACAGAGTCACTGTAGAAACCAAAAGCACTCAATAATTTTTTTATTATTATATTAGTATGCTCTGTCGCCTGCAAGATGTAGCCATTTTCCGTGGTTTCAATTATATTTTTGCTCTTGTAACCTTCAGTTTCATCATGACACTGTCGACCTGATTTGAGCTTTCTATAGGACTGTTTTTGTGTACCCCGCAGGCATGTGTACTTTGCCCTTTGCAAAACCATACTGCGCATGCTTCTTTACCTGCACCCTGTTTAAATAGGACTGTTTTTCTTATATGTTTGTTTTCGCGGTGATGTCAGAGGGAAGAGGAGACCCGATTCGCCAATGCATCTCTGCAATCCTCTGCTGTGAGGCCATTACCTTACGAGGCTAGTCTCTTGCACTGAAGCACGAGGGGGGTCGTTCTGCTACTGTAGCTTCCCTTTTTGCTTAGTTCACCGGCGCAGACTTAGATCCGAGGTGTCGGGCGTTGCTGTGACGAAATGCGCGATGCCCTGTTTCCGGCTGTAGATAAAGGAGTCACTAGCTCAGAGTCTTTTTTTTAAGCCAAAATGGCGTTTCACCATTTGGGAAGATGCCTCGCAAACATTTTGTGCACCCAGTTGTATTGTTTGTCACATGTCGTTGCTGCGGAGAGGTGTTTGGCTGTGATGGGGTGTATGGCCTGTACAAAGTAGCCTTGAATTTTTTTATCATTCTGTACAAACGCACAGTTTATCATTGTTCGAAACGCCTTGTCTCCTTGTGTGTGTCGTCTCTCGGCGATGAATCGTCGAAGTTGTAGCCAACTTTAGACCTCTAGCCAGACAGCGGACCAGTTTTGTTAGCTGTAATATGCCAAACCCTCATCGCGGCTGGGCTTGCACCTGGTCATGAACGCCAGTTCCGACAATTATGGAAGTTGCAGCGAAAGCCGCATTACTAGCGTGTTCATAATGAGGTGAAAATGGTTTTGGCCGGGAGTTACAAGGCAATGACCGTGAAAAAGTGACTGCCACTACCCATGATTGCGCGGCCGGGAAGAAAGATCCTGGCAAGTTTCGGTACTGCAGACGTTGTATGCATAATACTGTTCCGCATGGGAGAACGCTACATTTCACGTACCGTGCACGATCAAAGGTTCTGCACATGCGCCTCATGGAAACGATGCTTGGATGCAACGTGTGCATTGCTCAAACTTGCTAATAACTGCACGAAATCTTTGTGTATAATTGTAACATCTGAAAGCAGATTTTGTATGTAGAGTGGTAGTGATTGAAAAAGTGATGCCGTTCGTCCGTTGGGAGGCAGTTTGTGCGTAAGTGCTAGGTTTGTTGAGCGGTTTGCTGAAACGGAACTGTGCCAATGCACCTATTGCTGTCGCACCTGTCGGTGCACTTAGTGTAGATACCGTTGGAGCACTGGCTGCGTACTTGCGATGTGGTGTAGCCCCGTTGGGGCATGTCAACGAGAGAGCTTGGATTTGTGTAAGGAAATGTGTAGCCTCATGGTGTATGTGTTGACTCTTTTTTTGCGTGTTAGTGCCTAATCAATCTGCTCAAGCTGCGTGCTTTTGCACGTCACTGTTGGGAAGAAAACTGAGCAAGCGCGGACACGCAACTGTTGGTTTTCTCACCCAGTTGCATCCCTTTATTATAAGAACTTCGTTTACAGTAGGTGGAAGTCCAGTAGAAGTTTAGACCTTTCTCACTCTTGAACGGTCGAAGTTTTGTTCTTATTATTACTAACTAGCAGACTAGAAACTGCCTTTATCGGAGATTTGGTGAACTTCTTGCGTTTCAGTTGCTTTTTTCAGTTTAAAATTGACATCCTAAGAAGATACGCTTTTTTTAAATATAAATTAGTAATCTGTATAAGGCGCACTGAAGTGACAATATGCAGTATGTTAACAGCGAGTTTTCCAGTGCAGCGTACGTCATCTCTGCAACAGCATTGGCATATGCCAGAATGCCACGAATGAGCAGAAATGTTGTGCTCGCACTTGATGCAAAGCGTGGCATTCTCACAAATGCAACGTATGCTGTAATGAAACTCGCTAACAAGGGGAAACAGTTAGAGTGCATGTGATATGTGTGCTGTAATCGTGTTTTGAGGCTGTCGTAGTGCTCAGACAATAGTAGTTTGAAATGTACAAGCAAAGCATTCTTGTCGTATTTCTGGCACTGTTCCTTGTTTAGAAGGTTGCATCAGTACAAACAACACAGCGGGTACGAAGATGGCTACAGCTGGCCTAGAGCCATAGGCTGTTTTATTTTTGTCGGCCTTTGAACGCAGCCTGTTTTACGTTGTGCCACTTATTAGCATTAGTGCTGTGATGTCTCGGTAGCGAGTTGCTTTGTGTATTTGACGCGTGGTTGACTTGTGTTGCGATTGCGTCATTGGTGGAGCTCTGCTGTTACAGTCGCCTCGAAAACTAACCTTACTTAAGTTCGGCATAAGTATATACTCGGCACCCTGTGATGTTAGTTCATTTAAAGCTTCTTTGTTACACACTGCTAACTGAAGGACATGTTTTAGTGGTTAATTTTCACATTTCCTTGTAACGAAGCTTCTTTGAGTGAGTTGTGTGGGGAACTGAATGTGAATGCCAAAGTCGGAGATGTCCCTGCACAAATGAGACCACATATTTGGAAATGCGAATTCCCACCGTGCTTCACGGTTGATGCTGTCGGCCGTTGTATAGTGTGCTTAGTGAAAGCATTCTTTACTCTTCATTCAAAGTGCGCTAGACATAGATTGAGACCATTCGCCGCCTAGCCACTACAGAATGATATAATTCGGTCTTTAATATCGTTCACTACAGTGTTCTTATCAGAATAAAGCAAAGCTATGTCCTTGAGAGGGTGGCCATGGGAGAGTGAGACATTTAAAAGCTAGTTTGGAAGAAAGGGTTGTGGTGATTGTATTAGAACTTCTACGAAGTGGTATTCAAAGTTTTGCCAAGCTTCTGTTCATTTTGGTAGTGGCACTTTTTGTCGACATTTCATCCCCGCTACGAGAGTTGTGATAGCGCAGAAAATTTCACCAAGTATATCACCAAGTGATCAGATAGTATAGGTTTTATGCAAAGTTTTTCATTAGGCATTGTGAATAGACATTTCAGCTTTGAGCTCTGAGGGGAACAGCATGGGCCACAGGAAACAATAATAAATTTCAATATATATTTCAAAAGTATTTTGAATGGTTTAGGTTGGCTCTGTGAGTGCAGCTGATCTCATTTAAATTAATTCTGTACTTGCCTAATGAGAACTATTTCTGCTTCTTAAGTATACTTGAAGAAGAAAAAAAAAAAACGAGACATAGCCTTGTGTCAGAGCTTTTGCTTAAACTGATCAAACTGCATAGCAATATGTCAGCCAAGTTTAATAATTATTGGCAATCAAAGTAGTTTGGTACATTCCATTCCTTGTGATAGTAATTAATCTTTTTCTGCGCACATTCAGCTGGCTATGTACTCAAAATTCAAGCAACCTTCATTGCTTACAAGGGCAGTGTAGTTTTTCTATTTCTTCGAAGAGCCTGAGAATGCTATTGACGGTGTTGCGCGGCGTAGTTGTGTAGTATTGCCTCTCGGAAGTAAGATATTGGTTTGTACCGTAGGGCACCACTTCAAAGTAATGTGCTATCACTTCAGGACGAAATGTGAACCGAGGGTGACTAGTAGAACACTGTTTAAACTTGAACCTTCGAAATTGCAATGTCCGAGTGCACCGTAACCACCAGACAACGTGCAGTGGTTAGAGGTGTGCACCAGTGTCATACCCACTCCTAAATTTTAAAAAAAAGACAACATACCTCCTAGTTTATTGTGATAGCTTACAGGCCTTGCAATCACTTTGCTAGCACATTAAAGTTTGTCGTATTCAACATTATTGTCACGAGTTCGATTTGCACAAACAGCAAGGCAGTTGTACTAGTCTACCTTGTTTACTTTTTGTATGTATATTTTGTTTGTCTGGACTTGTTCACGTGTGCTAACATGTTATTTTTTTGTTACTTTTTGTACTGTATCTAGTTCCTTTGTACTCTAGTGCAGCAGCTCTGTGGTGAACTTTTATTGTGTTTTATGTGTGTGCAGGTTGTAAGGTTAGAAAAGAATGTGGCAATCATGTGGCACTGTCTCGTGCAATCACTCGGCTTTACCGCATTGTTAGAATGAGAAACCAGTGCCGACACTAGTTGTGTAACGACACTATGTGTCAATGCAAAGGTCAGCAAAGTGGTCATCTGCTGACACTAGCTCCACTTATTGGACCATGACATCAGGATATCATTTGGAAGCCTGTAGAAATTGTGTGACAGTCGCCAAATGTTGGGCCGAAGGTTTTGAGGCGGCGATTTCTTATTTATGAGCACTATTATCCTGTAATTCTGAAGTCTGCCTGGCAAGAACAACCCAAGGGCACGTGATGTTGCTGCTTGGGTTCATAACTGCGTCAAAAGTTGAGGCACATCATGAATATTCTCTTAGCAGGGTATGCCTGACAACAAAAGCTTATGGTGTTAGGGTTTTGCAGCAAAAGGAAATTTCCGCTCTTTAGGGAATTGCATGTAAAATCTAGCAGGTCACCTCGTAGGTTACAAGAGCTACTACAGTGCGAAAGGTACATTGCAAGGCAAAAAAAAAACTTAGGCGCAGAAACGACCATTCTTTCCTGTATGTCTAGTTTGCGTTGCGTTATTGCCTTTTGACTGGTACGAACCAACTAGCCCTACAACATGTCTCGTTAAACTTAAACTACTACAGGCTGAAACATTCATCAAAGCCTTCATTAGAAAAAAAAAAGAGGAATGTAGCTTTCTGAAAAACTTTTTGTTCTTGCAACTTGTTTTTGCAGGGTATTAAGCAAACAAATTGACCCACTCCAATCCTTCAACGTCTAGTGAGCAGCGCCGAAATGTCTTCAGTGTTCACTATCACTAACGTTTACCGCTCATCGCAACACCACAAAGATTTAGAATGATAGAGTCCTGAAACGTCATCTTGTGTATTCTGCCTCCCCATTTCCAGATGTCTGGTGCGCACAGTCTAGTGTGTTTGCGCCGCTGGGAACGAGTGTTCAAGCCAGCAGCACGCAGCTGCGTCGGCCCTTCAGCCACCCGTCTTGGATCTAGCTTCAGCTTTTGTCGGCTTCGAGTGCGGCTTGCAGTCTCCAAGAAAGCAGGCGCAGGCCTGCCTCGATTTGTACAGTTTTGCAAGTGCCGAAGTCGTCTGCTTCCTTTTCCTTCTCTCTCACGCAATAAAGTAACGAGTTGTTGGGGTCGACGACAATGTGTGGAGAGGAGACGCAAAACAGTGACAAGTACACTGAGTTACCTGTTTTGTCTTTCAGTGCGCGTGCGTGGCATGTTGTATATATAAAGATCAGAGTGAGTAAACATTTTCTTGCTCCTTTTTTGTTTCCTTAATTTAGGACTGTTTGTAGTGAAAAAAGGGGCCCTCTTGTACACAAGCGTGCTGGTGGAACTACTGTTTTTGACGCATTTGTTGTAAATATGTGAGAACCATGCATTGTACGTAGGAGTGGGAGAGTAAATATATATTTGAAAATTTTGCACGAATTTCTGCGACTTGTCTTGCCTGAATACAAAGTCCGCTTGGGCTACGGTATGCACAATATGTACAGTAGCTCATTAGAAGAAGATTTAAAAAAAAGGAACAACTGATGATTACGATACTGCCTAACAGGAGTTCTTTGTGCAGCTTCATGTTAGGGCAGTGCCAACTTTGAAGTTTTGGCTTTCTGCAGCGATAGCAATGTAAAATTCGTTGCATATTAGCACAGCAACTGCCAGTTCTCGAGTGTTGCGCGTTCTATCTTCCATCCTCATTCACACTATCAAATACACCAACAAAGCTCAACACGGGAATAAGCGTCGGAGAGCTAAATTTCTAAATGAACGATTTCAATATATTTTGCTATGGTTCTACGTAACAACGGCACCGACGAGAAAATGCAGTTCCAGGTTGCTGCACAGATTATGCCTAGGTATGGTGTTCACTTGTCACTACCACACCTTATCGGCCATGCTGACAGTCCGAATTGTGAGCTATGTGGCTCTCTGGACACTACTGAACACATCTTGTGCGCCTGCCTATAATATAGTGTGCAAAAAAACCGATGGCTATCTTTTTGTTGAACTTGGTCACGCAATTAATAGGTATCGGAGAAAGTTATTTTGGGGCCTACACATTGTCGATGAAAGCGAAAAGACTCCGATTGGACATAGAGGCCTGCAGTCCGCTTTTAGTTAACGCGCACGCTGCGATTTTTTATTGTTCATAAGAAACGCACATGAGAAATGTCCCACCGGCACTACTTTGGAAGTCGAGATTCAGTTCCTATATATACAAGGTGGCCAGTGAATTGTGCAGGGCGAGCTGGTGGTTTTTTCAATCAAGAAACTCTCTAGCAGACACTGCCTACGTCGGCGTTGTGAGGCGAGGGGGAGCGTAAGAGAGGAGAGGGGACGCGCAATGGGTGTGTAAACGCCGCGGGGAGAGGTGCCTAAGGAGAGAGGGGGAGGGGACGCGCATGCGCACTAATGGTGGTCACGCTGCACGCACTCCAGATTGGACTCGAGCGTAATATGCTTTGCATAAAAAAGACTAAATATTTAGTTTTTGAAGGGTCGGTTTCATCATCAATTTAGCGAGTGTTGTGTCTTTCTTTTTTGTCCCCTATATCCCCGTTCAAACTGCGCTGCTTGACCACACAATATTATTATGATCAGTCGCCAACCAGCCCAGCTCGTAACCTTATGTCAAAATAATATTTCGGTTTAAATATCAGCCATTCAGTTTAGATCCAGTGTAGTTTAATTTCAGTCATTCTAAACATCTAAACCCCAGAATATGCTTCCGTTAATAAGACCAGCCCCGCCGTGGTGGTCTAGTGGCTAAGGTACTTGGCTGCTGGCCCGCAGGTCGCGGGATCGAATCCCGGCTGCATTTCCGATGGTGGTGGAAGTGTTGTAGGCCCGTGTGCTCAGATTTTGGTGCACGTTAAAGAACCCCAGGTGGTCGAAATTGCCGGAGCCCTCCACTACGGCGTCTCTCGTAATCATATGGTTGTTTTGGGACATTAAGCCCCACATATCAATCGATCCGTTAATAGGACCAAGCATCGAAATTGTCACAAAGGCACGTCTGCGTGCAATCTGTGCCTCTAATTTTGTCTTTTGGAGCCTGTGTTTCTGGTTTCTTCAATGCGAAGATCTGCGTGGCTGTGCGTAATTACCTCAACGAAAACAAACAGTTTACTAGCTAATCTCTATTGTTACCTTTCTGTGTCGTATTGATTTATTTTAGGGGCGAAGCTCCTCTTAGCCTAATCTTGTCGCACGTAACCGAGAGAAGAGACGAGAAAGAAAAGAAGGCAAAAGAAATGGATGACCATTTCTCGTCTCATTTCCTAGATGGCGTTTCTCTGCCGCTACTCTCCGATTGGCTGCTGCGCGCGCTTTTCCCGAGTGCGCGGAGAACGAGTGCCTTTCTCAGTCCTCTGTATAGTCGCCGGCGGATCGTTGGTGGGGCATGGACAAAGCGGAGTGGCGGTCGCGTTGAAGGCGCTTGCTCTCGCGTCTCGTCGGTGTTACCCGTGCGCTGTCTGCATTCTCGAACGCGATTGGATGCATGCACGAATGGACGCTTCGTCGCACTCATCATCATTCATTTTGTGGATATGCTGTGAATTGTTTATTATCTGTTCCTAATTAAAGTGTTTATTAGAGCCAATTGATTTTTCTTCCTTCGTATACATTTGATAGAGCCGCAAATTTTTAATTTTTTTTCGCAGTTTTGTAATGTATCTATTCTATAAACGGCCTTACTCCAAGTTTTATAACATTTTATGAAATTACTCAATTCCTGGTCTATCCCCTACAGTATATGTGGACCATCGTGAACAGGAACATACGGGCAACGAGACTCCAATTTACCTGACCCGTACACACCGTAACATAAGAACGCGTCGATGTAACGCGGTTAGCGTGCACGCGTGGTAAGTGCCAATATGAGCACTCGGCCGGGAGAGGTGATTTGGCTTAATGACCCGTATAACGCGAAGAACTGGTCCTTTTCATGCACCGCGTCTGTATAGCCAATTAAGACGCCCCAATGGTCATCGTTGTGCGGGATCACTCAAGCCCGTATAACTGCTTCATTGAATTGTTCCTGCGCAGCGGATGCTTTCTTATAATGTAATTTTTTTTTTGTTTTTTCGAGAGGACCATTATGTAAGGAAGCGAGCAAAAGGTAGGAAGTTGGGCCCCGCTTCCGAGAACCGCGAGACGAGATGGGGGTTTTCTCTTTTAATGGGGGTGCAATGTTGTATAGATACGTGTAACGCTGCTCTCGTGTCTTGCCTTTGCTCTCCTGTTCACTTTCGTGCCGTGGTGTCTGCAATCCCTTGTCTGTATTGTGCGCGCTCATTGCGTTTTGCTACGGTTAATAGAAAATGCACATCGTTCGAGTCGATGCGATGCAAGAGGCGATAAAGAGGTAGGAGAGGAGGATTTTGCGATGCGGGCTGTTGGGGAGAAAGCCTTAGGCCAGGCGCGCTCATTATGATTTACAACACGGGAGCACGTAACCTGAAGAGTCCAAAGGTTGCGAACGACTAAGTTGTTTTTATTTCGACAACCAGATAATATTTTCTTACTTGCGATCGTACGCAAATGAGATAAGTGCGTTTAGTCATGGAAATAAGGGCTAGTGGCATCCGTGCGGAACCTTTAAACTCACGGGCTGCAAGTCATACTGGGCGCGAATGCACTTGCAGGGGCGATGCGTTTAGATAACGGCACTTCATAGCATCGAGTGCTCGTGGTGGAAGGAAAGCGGGGCAGTCTGCGACTGCAAATGAAGGGAGAAAAACGACCTGCGAGACTTGGGGGATCCTCAAAGGGCCAATCAATGGATTCCGACATTTCTTTTTAGGGGCGAAGCTCCTTAAGACGTGGGCTGTGCGTCCCCTGTATGTAGCCACCTCTCGTTTAGTTCTTGCAGTGTCCACTAGATGGCGGTACCGTCTCCTGTATGTCGCCTCCTCTCGTTTAGTTCTTGCACTGTTCACTAGATGGCGGCACCGTCTCCTGCATGTAGCCACCTCTCATTTAGTTCTTTCAGTGTTCACTAGATGGCGGGACTTGTAGCTGATGATGAAAGATGCGAGACGTTATAAAATAGGAATAATGTCACATACGGCACGTGTCATCATTGGTGAAAGGCAATCGTTCGATATAGTGCGGCGACGTACGCTAGGGGGAGCATTGTAATAAAATCGAGTGGGCAAAAGGTACGGAAGATTCATGGTTTACCAGGTTTTCCTCCAGAGCTTCGCCCACTCATCATCATTCACTTCGTGGATATGGCGGCACTTTTTTTACATCCCCCGAAGAAGCGGCGATTTCGTTTTCCGAATAATAAAGATGCACGCCGCGCAGTGCATCCGTTTCGAAAACAAACAAACAAAAAAAAAAACTTCCCGCGCACCTTTTCTACGCCTGACAAATCCTCCTTTCACGCGCAGCGAAAGGAGTATTGGTCATCGCAAACGATAGCATGCAACGCCCACAAGCTATGTCTTGAGAGAAGTAGTTGCAAAACACCATTTTTTACTTTCGCTGTAGACTTCGTTGTGAGAAAAATGTTAGCGCATTTTTATTCGAGGCGTAACCTAATCAGTTTAATTAAGAATTATTGGTTAAAAACATTGATTACATGTGTAACTGAGAGTAACTTCAATATAACGTGCACTGTGCAATAACTGCTCTTCCGCAAAGCTCCGACAGGTCTATTATCTTTTTTAATTAAATTCGATGCAATGGCTTTCATGGATGTTACATTTAATTCAATGTATCAAATATGCGGTGAACATTACAGATATAGGCTAGTTTATTTTCTCCCTCGGTAACAGCGCAACACTTAAGAAAAAAATAGAAGAAAAACGGACAACACGGCGCCGAACTGTCAGTTTTTGCTTGTATTGTTCTCGCGAGTGTTGCGCTGTAACCGAGAGAAAAAAAAAATTCCCGCCAACTGGTCCAACTTGCCCTTTTGCTCCAATAGGCTAGTTTCACTCAAGAGTTCGGGCCGTCTGCACGGCCGACGACGGTGCTCGAAACGTAGGTCAACCGACGATAGTTATAGCGCGAGAACAGAACGACGACACAGAGACGAGAAGGACACCTTCGTCTCCTTCTTGTCTCTAGCTGTGTCGTCGTTCTGTTCTCGCGCTTATAACTATCGTCATGTCGTACCAACTATAGCCCAAGCTGCCACACTTCTGAGTAGGTCGACCATATGTGGACGTGCGTGGATCCGAGTGACTGGAGCTGTTTCCCTTTCCTGTCACACGGCCCGAGCCCATTTCGCACTTCTGGAGTGCACGTTAGGATTAACGACGCCCGTTTGGCGAAATGATCGCGGAGGCTCGCGGGCGCCGTCGAGGAGCAAGAGCTTATGGGAGGCCGCGGCCGGGCCCTGCCTGCACTTCCCGGTAATGCGGTTTCGTCACTCATTTCGCCGATGCTTTTTTATTATAACGGTCCCGTCGTTG